GTCTCATACACTTCGAACCCTCCCTAGAGATCGACTAGACGTTCTAAAGCATATACGCAAATTTCAAAGGGAAATATTATATAGGAAAAAAATTTTTTTTATTACTTTTGAATATCGCTTTAGTAGTTTTTGAGGCAGGCAAGATGTATAGTGTCGTAAGAAACAGTTTCAAAAGAATATAATATTAGTCCACATTCAGTGGTACCTGCCTTTAGAAAATATTCGCACAAGAAGCTCAGGAATGTAAAACCCTAATAACCTTATATTCGTACAGCTATGTTTTTAACGTAAAAATAAAATTGGATTTTGTCAAAAAGAAAAATGAAATTTTTTTTTCGGAAAATTCATAATCTCGCAAAGGTGTCTCTATACCTTGTGATTTTTCGATTTACGGTGATAAAGTGACTCCGACTACCGATTCAGATAACGTTCTCGCTTTCTGGTTCCCTTCGAATCGCCACCCTGATCCGAAGCTAAATTCTCGGGTTGTCGTGTAGTTACGCCAATGATCTTGAAGATTTGTTTTTGTTAAGGACGAGGTCGAATCTGCCGTAGAGACACAGTTTTCTTACCGATTTGCCCGGCAGAGGATAGTACCCGACGGAGACGTCTCGACGGACCGGCGCCCCGCTGGAGAGCGGTAGAGGGCTGTAGGGCAGGCGGAAACATAGTTTTGATACGGCTAAAGGCAGGGGAGTCCCGTACGTGCCAGTTGCGTTTGCTGATTTTACGCGTCCCCAAAAATCAACAGGATCCGTTAAGCTATCGTTCTTTCTGATAGGTTCCATCAGAGCTCTCGTTTTGGCGGAGTTGGGCCTGTTCCAGTCCAACTCCCAGCTCGTCAGACCCCTGTGACAAAAGAATCGGCTGGCGCCAGCCTGGCGTACGAATGCATGAGCGTAGGGTGGAGGGCCGAAGGTAACGTAGGATTTTTCGTAATCGGTATCGAGTTAGGAAACTACCATAGAATCTAAAGAAAAAAAGAGACACAAGAAACTTTGAAAATTCCTAAAAAATTCTCAAGGGGCTGAAACATCAAATTTCCTTTAACGGAGGTATGGTCAAAATGATGTTAATAATATTTGGAAAGTTGACGAGGGTGTGAGAATCATGATGGGGCCATGGCTACGTTTTCGTAAAAGGGATTAAGATAGTACGAATGTAAGGGAAAAAAATGTGTCGTATGAATTATGCATTACGTACCGATGATAAAGCAAATAAACTGTTGTTGGGTTCCGCAGCTTATCGCTAATAAATATAACATTAGCCGGGTAGCCATGTAACGTATAGTAAGGGGTGCCGTTACAAACCCCCATTCTAAATACGACTCGATGCTTATTTATGTTAATACAAATTTTCCTAGCTAGGTTTATCCAATCCCCAACCCTTCCATAGCTTCCGCCACTGTGATATACTAAATAAATAACGATTTGGTGAACTACCCTTAAACTAATTAGTACCCTTAAAAAATTACGAGCGAATAAAATCGAGCTTATACAATGAGTTGATATTATTAAATAATTTTTCTAACCCCTTCTGTAAAATTTATTTTTATCGCAGGTCATTAAGCTGACAAAGCTTAAGGGGTTATCGTCATCGTACTTCATGGTTACTTTATACGCTCTTAGGCTTAATTGAGTGAAATCATCATTAGGAATAGACTTAATGGTTTCGGGCAATAAGACGCTTTTTTTGCCATTAGACTGTACTTCAGTGCATACTGCAAATGTAAGGGGTTGTTATTTGGTAAAGAAACTAGTAAGAGGGTGTAGTCATGGCAACCAGGTTCATAATCAAGCCCTTACCGCCTCACGTCGCTACATCTTTGGAGACTTGAGGAGTCGAGGTAAACGCGAAAAAAGAGTTTAAACCATACTTCTCACTTGTTCCATACCATTTTCTATGTATTTTCGCACGCTGCTTACGAATCTGATGCTAGTTTCGCGATTGTGAAATCAAAATCGGTCGTACAGTTTAAAAGTTATGGCCAGCCGAACAGATGGATGTCATGAAAAATTAGGCTCATTTCACTGTCATAAGGAACCTTTAGGTTTCATCCAGAATCTAGAAGAGGTTAGAATATTGTATTTGGTGTTTATGTTAGACGAGACTAATTTTAACGCCATGGTTAATAGTAGCAAAAAATATCCCGTACCTACGCCAATGGTGGGATTTGGGATTCTGCGGTCAGGGGGAAGATTTTTGATAAATTCACTACAAGTAGGGAACGATTTCTAATCGTTATGTTTTTTTTCAGGTACCAGACACGTGCGAACTGCTATCCCGAGAAGCCTTGTGAATTGGTGCGAATGGTGATTTTGTAGAGGAGATACGGACTTGGACATTGAATCACGTGACAGGGACTAGACGTTCCCAAAGTGCAGTGGAGTAAAGCAGGGAAGTGCATTCACTTGATTTTCCAGAGAAATCCAGAATCTAGAAGGGTTTAGAATATTGTATTCAATGTATATGGTAAACGAGACGAATTTTAACGCTATGGTTAATAATAGCAAAAAAATACCCCTTACCTACGCCAATGTTGGGAATTGGGATTCTGCGGTCAGGGGGGAGATTTTTGATAAATCCACTACAAGTAGGGAGCAATTTCTAAATGTTATGTTTTTTTCAGGTACCAGACACGTGCGAACTGCTATCCCGAGAAGCCTTGTGAATTGGTGCGAATGGTGATTTTGTAGAGGAGATACGGACTTGGACATTGAATCACGTGACAGGGACTAGACGTTCGCAAAGTGCAGTGGAGTAAGGCGGGGAAGTGCATTCACTTGATTTTCCAGAGAAATGCAGCCAAGGTGCACCGATCGCCGGAAGTGGCAAGTCGAGTATCGAGTAAGTACGCCCACGTTCGGTTTACGTTAGTACTTCCACGATAAGTCAATTGAGAGAATTTCTATGGAATTTTGAATCGCTCTGTATATTTGCACAATTTTTGATTCGCTAATTAATTTGTTTTTCCTCGATAAACTTTTCAATCTTTCAGAGTTACTCGTTAATCCCCAGACGTTCAGGGATTAAAAAAAATAAAGTCAATGATTTTCAAATACTTGCTCTACGTCTTAATGCACTTTGATCGTGCAACTGGCATAGCCAGCAGTTTTCGAAAACTTCCAATGCAGTTCTTCCAGCAGTTCAGAGGTGCTACGACAGGGTCAACGAAAGGTTACAAGTTCTACGATAGGTTCAACGAAAGGTCTACAGGTTCTATAATTGATTATACGGAGGGTGAACAGAGTCTATATGAGCCCTGCGTGACCCTCCGTTCACTCCGAATATCCAGTTTCTGCAATTTTTGGAGTCTGGTTGGTTGAAATTTGTGTTTAGTTTCAATGCGCGATATTCTTCTTCAACCTGAGAGACTCCGGGCAAAAATCACAGGCAGTCCAGGTTCGACGGATTAATTTTATATAATATTAAAGGTCTATTGGGAGCATCGATTCAAATTCGGATAAATGATTAAAAAAGTATTTTATATATATATATATATTTTTAAAGTAACCACAAGCTGTGTAATTAACTTTGCGGATTTCCCCCGTTGGCCCCTTTGGTCTCTTCGTCTGACGCCACTTTAGAGACTACAGAGTTTCTAGTGTCATCATAAAGTTTACTTAACCAATTTCATGCATCCTTGATGCACTTTTTACTCAGGTTGAAAAAAGTGCACGCGATGTCAGTGATCCTTTTTTCTTTTTAAATTTTATTCACCAAGTTCAAGTGAAAGCAGAAGTTTTCGAAAAAATTTCTATTAACAATCCACACAATCATCACGTGTGTTTTTCATGACAATCAGCACAATCCGCACTTTTACTTTATTCAATGCGATTCCAGACTCAGGCGATTAGTGCACCTTTTTTTTCTATGAGCCATTTGAACTGCATGTATTCACGTGACCGGTTTATCACGCAAACTTTAAACATTCCTATACCTATGTATAATTCCACTCAATATGAACTCTGGATCATTATAATTTTAAAAAAAAAGTCATTTTTTAAAAAAAGTTCAGCTCGTACTTATTGCATATATCACGTGGCGAGTGCATCGGTCGAGATGATTGAACGAATCTGTCAAGTACTAAGATGAATGAATAGAAGTTGAAAAAGTGAAATTCAATTTTGGCGGGAAAGGAAATTAAATTCAAAATATTTTCACGATAATTGCACATGTATTTATTTGTTAATTTTTTGTCCTTTGAATTTTATAAGTATCCTGTATACAATTTCGCACGCATCCTTTGGTCCTTCGATATCCGAAATATCTTTTCATATCCATTCGCACGTGTGCAATTGTTTAGAAAAATTTTAACATGGGGTTACCAGCTCCAATTTTACGAATCTTATCGTACACGAAATCTGAACTAATTTACACGAAGGTCGCTTATCTTTTCCAAGAATATCGAGCAGCGCGAAAGTACCGTCACTCGATATTACAAGTCACGCGAGGAATATACCTAACCTGTTGTTTCAGATGATGTATTTTCATCGTTTACGATTAGTTGAGCTTTAATGCACTTGCACATGCACCTGTTGAGATACCCTGGCAAAGGCGCAATGCTATTTTGAGGTAAAATAAAAAAATTGTTTTCCTTAAATTTTACCCCACTTCCTTTTTTTTTCCCCAATTTGTTTTCTTCTTCAAGAAAGTCAACTATCTCTTGAATACACCAGGCTTCCTTCACCCGGTGTATACCTTTGGACTCGAGTCGTACAATAAAAGCTTTTCTTTCTATAGAAAGCTTTTATTATCCGATACCGCAAACACGCATATAGCGACACGTGTCTGTGGGATAAATAAACACTTCGGGCTATAAAAGCACGTGAATTGTTTATTGTCGGATTAAACAAATATTACAAAAAATAAAGGCAACTTGCAAGGGCACGTGACGTGCGATATTTATTCAATCCATCGTGACGAATATCGCGATATTGGTATCAGGCTTGATATTGGGATTTTTTAAATGATATTAAAAAAAAATTATTAAAAATGACTTTGGAGGTTAATGACGGTTTATTTTTAATGACCTACTTTTTTTTTTATTCAATACCTTAACTCGCTGTTATACGTTACATACATATACTGGACTTCATTTGTGCTTTTATTCACGCTTGATTCTGGCATCCTGGTTACGAAATATAAACTATTTTCTTCGGCTTTTTTACTATTGTTCGTCGAACAATGGAGACCCGCCTGAATCACACAATGCCAGGATAAATAAGAGGCTGATGGATAGGAACTTTGGTATTATTTGAGATGAATGAAAAAGAATTAGTTGAAAATAATAAAGTGTGGCGTATAACAAAATGGAAGGTGAGAGTGGTTGGTTTAAACTTGACGATCGAAAAGTTATATTTATTGTTACACCAATTCGATATATTGAATTTAAAAAACATTTATAGTTATCTTTTAACGTTATTTTCATCGTTTACTGTTTTCATGTATAGGTAGGTGGACGCGATTACGAGTACGGATTTGTCTTTTTCTTTTTTTTTCTTAAGGGATGATTATCGAAAATGAGACACCCAATTTTTTTAAAACTTTATATACGGTTAATTGTGTCTGATGCTTATTTTCTAGGTTGTGACAGAATTTTGACGTGTGACAGGTTAATTACAATTTTGTGTCATACGCAAAATTTCATGACACAAAGTGAGGGGATGAAAGGGAATATTATTTTTATGCAAAAATATTTTGGTGAACCTATCAGTGTTATAATGATAAAATGACATTTGGTTTGGGTGAATTTTTTTCATTATTCAATCAAAAATTATCACAAAAATGTTTGATAAGGTGTCGCGTTAGAACTTCCTATCGTTCATTGGAAACCATTTTGCGTTATGAAATAATAAATTAATTTTGCGATAAGAACTTTTTAATAGTCTATTACGTAACGCGAGATCAACAGTGTCGATTGAATAATAATGATAATGGTCTGTTTGGGAATACATGTACACGGATAATTAATTACTATTATTATCGATTATTAATGACAGATTGAGCGATTAGTTTCTCACGTGGTAAAACAGTTTTACAAAAAATATCATTAAAACGATGACGGCCTATAGTTTGAGAAATTATAATAAATCATTAACAATAGATTGAATTAGGCCGATCCTGTCATTTATACGTTCATTGAGACTTTGCCACTTTTTTTTATTGCTTGCCGTTCGTAATGATAATGCAAATTTCTGAATAATCAAATCTGTTCGGTATAATCGTATTTTTCTTTTCGTTATCGTATCACATCGGTAACAAAATATTTTCCATTTTATTAATTTTTATTTTTTTTTTTCTTTTCTCAATCATCTAAAAATCTCGTGCCTCGTCGTCGATTATCGCGACGCTTAATACTGCTATTTTGACTAAAGCGTCGGGACGACACTACCTAAAAATTAGACTATCGAGTAAATTTATCGTAATTCTAATATCTTTCTTCGATCGATGACTAATGTAAAATTTTTTTTTTAACTCATTCATCCTTACACTATAAATCTGCAGCGTTAATCAATACCGCAATATCATTTCAAAAGCCACTATAAATCTCTAAAATACCGATCAATTCGCCCGGCGACCGACCCTGCACATTTCAACATTAAAAATCAATTGTCAACCAGTGTGAGTTGACGAATTTTCAAATTTAAATTTTCCCGCTTCTATTTTTTTTTGTTTTCAAAGTACAATTCATAACGCGCGAGTCGATCGCAAAAACTGGTTGCCCTAAACACATCTGACTTTTCAACATGCGTAAAGTATTCAACTGTTAATGGAAAGAAAAATTCTGAAATATATAAATAGACGCTGGTCCATTTTTAATAGTAAAAAAAAAAAAGAAAAAAGCTGCAAAAATATATTTTTTTTTTCATTCAATTTTTCCCGCACCAATATACAAATACACGTTTCCTCGATAAACCAATTTAAAAGAAATAATAATGAAGGCCTTGGCGACTAGCGCTCATATCTATTCTGTCTTCTGCTACTGTGTCTTTGCTTTAAAGCTAACAAATTAATTGAACAGTCCCATTTACTCGTTCAATGCAATTAATACTAGGTATCACCGCCAGCGTGCTGGGACTTATTCTATAAAAAAAAAATGATCGACCATTTACATTCTCATCGGTTCCATCCCTCTTCCCAGCTATCATTGATTAATGATTGAGAAAACTGTTATTCTTCGAGATGAGCCCAGCGCTGCTCTCGGACATTGGTATCACTGCTGATTTTTCACCCTTTGGTAATTTCGTCCTGGACTTTATGTTGGGTTGCAGTCCCTTCAGGATATTCTGTAAGGAGGTAAAGTGAGCGTTAACCAACGCAGGAAGTAATCAACCCTCAGGGTAGTACCGTAGGGGATATATCTAATCCCGATCCTCTTATAGGAGGGTAGTTAAATTTGATTAGAGAGAGAGAGAGAGAGAGAGAGAGAGAGAGAGAGAGTGTGTTTCCTACATAAAATCATTAATAGTAAAATGATCTTACCTCTTTGATCGATCCAGGTGTAGTTACGACATAGTAAATAGCATAAGCCGGAATCCAAATCATGGATGAGAAGCTCATTGTGAATCCTAGAATTTCAGCCCACGTCGGATATTTATACGTATTACCATATGTCAATGGTTCATACTGTACGCATTGAAAGACGAAGATAAACTGAATAGAGGAACGATAAATTGATTAATATATTAATTAATAATTAAAATGACGAATCCATTGATATTGATAAACGTACTGCCATGATAATAGGGGCAAAGACCAGCCAGCATATGTACCAAAATTTATTCAATCTTATTCCCATCATCTGGTGTATACAGTCGCAAAATTTTTGAGTACCAAATATCCAGGATATCGCTATGGTTTGGAAGAAGCAAACCCAGAGAATGGACATTCCGCTTGCTGAGTAGAAATCCATTAGTTGGAATATATAGACGCCACCCTGAAAATATAAATAATAATTATCTATACTTGTTATTGAAAAAAAAAAAATATGATAAATTTGAATTTCTTCATTTTCAGAATATCCCCAAATTCACTTACGTGAGTCACCATGGGAACGCCAAGCAGAAACATCAGCAGGCAAATTGCTATTGTAAATTTGTTACGATGAGGTCGCAGAGTGTCTGGCCAATTGTCAACGACTCCGGTAATGAAGGACTCGACGATACAAAATTCACTGTCAATGCCCAGTATCTGTCAAGGATCAAGGACATTGATTATTCCTGAAGATCGAAAGACTTAGTTGGAACCTAAAGTTATTGTAAGTTGCAGGATTAACTAGTGTCTCACGATAAGCATAACGAAGAAGATAATGGCCCAGATCGGCGCACCAGGCAGCTTCAGGACGACCTCAGGATACGTGAGGAAGACCAGACCTGGTCCGCTCTTGACGACCTGAGATACCTCGGTGCCTAGTTCCAAAGCTATATGACCCAGGATAGAGAATGTCACGCAGCCGGCCAATAAACATGTCAATGTGTTTACTACGCATGTAATCAGTGCATCTCTGCAAGTCAAAACTTTCGTTTTTATGGATTTGGAGCGTCGACCTTACGAGGTGATGTATACGGTAAATATTGAGCCGATTGAAAATCGATACCTTATTGATACTTACTTATAACAGTTGTGATGAAATTTATTGTAGGATCCCAATGCTGGCAGTGCACCTGTACCGATGCTGTACGCGAAGAATATCTGGGTGGCACCGTCGATCCATGGTCTAGGACTCAGTAGCTCTTCCCATCTTGGTGTCACGTAGTAGAGAAGACCCTCATCGGCCCCATCCAAGGTCACCGCTCTTCCCAAAAGAATGAAAAGCACCACGTACGGGAACAACGCCGAAAACCAGATGATCTTACCGCTCTGGTGAAGACCACGGCGGATGATGAAGTAGACCAGTAGCCATCCAAGTATCAGACATCCTAGTAGCTCCCATTGCATCCCGCCAATTTCTTCGATGCCACTTGTGATGCCAAGTACACGGCGACTGGGAAAAATTAGAATATTATTCTTTGTTACATTTTTTTTTTATCATTCGCTACTTACTTCCAATACTCCTCCACTGGTGTTGTATGATGTATCGTGGCGTTACTGGTCATACTTGTAGTTTCCGCTTTACTGGCGTTCCTGTGCCGGTCGTCAAAACAGCCTTCAGTGTTCCACCAGTTTCCTGAAATTTTACAAACAGTTGTAAATTCGCGCAATGGGAAGTGAATTTTTTTTATAATTACCACAACCGCTCCATGGCAATCCTGGCAAATTTGCGAATGTGCTAATTAGGTAGAATAGCGTCCAGGATATGATGATACAGTAGTATATGTCGAGAAAGAAGACTATTGTCATTGTGGCGTAACCGACCCCTATAAATAATATAATTTTAAATATCAATTAATTACGTTAGATATATAATTATTTAATTATATTAATTAGAAACCTTGTAACAAAGGACACAATTGTCCTACGAGCGTCATTCCGCCAGCTCCGAGGTACTGTCCGATAGCGACTTCCTGGAAGAATATCGGTATTCCGCAAAATATCATGGCGATTCCATAAGTGACCAAAAATGCGCCTGAAATGATGTTTCGAGAGATTTTCAAAAATTTGTTAAACCTAACGTAACTTTATAACTGACGAGTCTATTTACCGCCGCCATTTCTGTAGCATAGATATGGAAATCGCCACACGTTTCCCAAACCGACAGAGACGCTAATGCAGGAGAATAGAAAATCCAATTTATTGTCCCAGCCACCGCGTTCCGCTTGCTCCTCGCGATTAGCTACAGCCGTAGGTTCACCCTGGGGCGACGACACGACCATCTTCGGCACCGTCTTCGACGATTCACCGGCTGTAGTCGACTTCGCTTTGAATTCTATGAAAGTCTGATCCGGATCAACCGGTTCCCCTTCGTCTCCCCAATAATACATCTTCTCAGTCATCTTTCTGAAATGTCTGTCAGTCACGAAACAATAATTTTATCTCTTATTACCCTACAACAAGATCAAGCATTTAGCAATAATTTATATAAACGATAATTAGACGGAATTAGAATCCCTATCTGGAAGCTTAGTACCAGTCAATTTCTTATTCCTTTGCAAAATCATTTGACCTTCGCTAATACTCATTTATTATAGATAACGCAAGGGACACGCGAACTAACATAACTTGTCATAATGATTAATTATTGGCTAGATTAGGGAGAAATAATTCATATTATCGATTAATTACTGGAAACTAGAATACACTGTATAATTTCATAGGACTTCGGTCAAAAGTATCGCGCGTGATACATGTATTGCGTCATAGTTTCATATATGAAATAATATATAGGGATGATTTCGTCATCCCTCTCCGAATCATTAATAATTATAACCCGCAAAATTATCTACTGCGTGACGGAGTGCAGTTCTATTCTTGAAATCACTTGTCTCTCTCTTTCTTGTTTTCCTCGGTAATTCATCCCTTCCACTTGCGCCCCAAACACCGTGGCTCCAACCCTCTAGTCTCTTGCCGAAGAGGGGGGACTCGCACGTGTACGTGTATAAGGGATGAATGTCTGCGACTTAGAGGGATGCTGAACGCAAAATCAATAGGGACGTTTTACACCATGCTTAGCGTACACGTGGATGTGAGTACGGACGAGACAACATAGTGGAGAAGCTACTGGCACATGTGCTATGTTGTCTACTGGTTGTTTCAAAATCGACCCTCGTCATAATTTTAAGAAAAATACACAGTACACGAGCAACAGTATATGTGGATTATTTTTAGTGACTATAAAAATATTAATTTCTTGTATTTTATATAAATAATTTTATCGTTCGTACAAATATTGTTATGTGCCAGGCGAAACGATTGTGCAATGTCCGTTTGTGAAAATTAATACTGATCGGTTTCCAAGGGGCATGTAAATCGTCACTGCATGGTGTGAAACTACCCTTGTACCAAATTCATTATTATTTGCACTAACTATTAGGCACTGTTCACTGACTACATTTTTGTCGCACTTCGATAACTGATAATTATTTTTAAAAAAGTATCACGTCACAATATAGCATTGCGCGTCGGTATTCCAAGGGCTGGTTTCGAGCGACCTACCTCACAAGGGATGTCGTTGTAGAATAATACTTCAGCGCAGCGCAAGGAGTGTCACCGGATGTGCGCATGCGCGCTCTTGCAAGCCAGCCTCACGTATTATGAGAAAAGAAGACAAAACATATATATATATACATATAACATGCAAGGGATGAAATGGGGGAATATTTTCTTCCTTTACTAATTCGGTTCATTGTCGTTCGTCGGGTATCTTTATTCAAAAATAAATATTCTACAAATATCGTATCAATGGCAATTTTCAAATTTCGTTTCCTTCAACAGCCACTAGACTTATCGCTGGAATTGCTGGGTATCACTGTATGGCACCCTCTCCTATGACGCAATTGTCGGGGAGAATATTTATCTTCCGGTTCCTTAGTTTCCGTTATACCCATAACAGTCCGCAAGGACTTCATGGACGTTTTTCGCGGGACGTCCTTGAGACTGGAAAAATTTGGTCTGGGCGTCCAATTAGTCCCATAGGAAATTGGATGTATCTCGCGTCGTGGATGCGTCACTTCCGTCGACAATTCGGAACGACACTCGTCGCAAACTGAACTCCCTTCACTTTCCTCAGCCACGGTTTGTTTGCTGGCGATAATCGCGTTTGGCATTCTGAAAGAAAAGGATTCGTCAAATTGTCCTGTAGGATCCTTGGATAATGCTAGGGAAATATCGGATAAAGAAATTTCTATGTCTGTGACTAAGTGAAAATCTGACGTCGACATTGTAAGTGGGTCCTAATTTAGACTTGAGGTCGTGACTTATCGTGAAGATAAAATCAAGAGTGGGAGTGGTTAGCTGGAAGGAATTGGTCATCGAGATAAAAGATTTCCTGTGTTTTCTTTCCTCGTAAATAGTCTACGTGCTTCCAGCGTCTAATTGCGAGTAGAAATTAAACCAGACTTACAGTCCTAATGATAATGAATAATCGAAAGTTTTTTTTTATATTTTAGGAACGGAATATTCATTTGGAAAAATCGGATCCGGAAATGGCCAAGGGGTTTACGAAAATTGAGAATGTCTTGAGTTTGCCAACCTGCCAGGGGACCAAGGAAGATAACCGGAAACTAGTACGAGGATATCCTGAATGACGCTTACAACGTCCTGTAGGAAATTTAAGACTTGACACGTTGAAATTGCGCAACCGAGACTGGTAATGGCGACGATCATTGAGATTATCCAGCTTATGAAACCAGCCGAAAGAACCGGAGGTTGTACAGGAGGTGGATAATACGAGGACCATACTCGCTGCCACCAAGGATATGATGTACCACGGTATTCGGATTCCTAAAATATAGAAAAAAAAATTTGAAAATTTTCTTTCTCGATACACAAAGTTTGCCTGTACTCACGTAACTCCAGTACGACCAGACTGAACAGTAAAGGACTCTTTGAAAAATGAGCCAGAGCCAAAGACAGCTGTTCAGTAAAAACCAGCTGACTGAAATCTTAGAAATTATTTTTTTCTTATGGTAGTATTGATTATTATTGATTTTTTTTTTATTTCTTTACCTGCAGTGTCTTGTACAATGATTTTTTACAGTCGAGCCATTTGAGAACCGGCGGATTTTTCCAAAGTGTCATACCAATCGCCGTAAGGATTATGAATGACGGTAAAGTATGGATGAAATCTGGTCCCACGGCAATTTTGGCGTATTCACGGAAAACCTTGTGTTGTAAAAAAAGGACCTCGTGCGGCACTGAGAGATATGTCAGCACTTGAGAGTGTAAAGCGCTCAGACAGGACATCACTAAAACGGTACATCAGCTTAGACAATTTTTTCGTCTCCAGCTGAATCGAGCATCTGTTGCAGGACGTGAAAATATTAAAATCCTGCAGGACTCGTGTGCCGATATTTGACGTTATCGTGAAAACATTGGAAAAGCGTTTTTAATTTCCTTCTTTTGTTGCGAGCAATCGATTCTCTAGGAATTTTTTTGATATTTTTATAAATAGTGACAAAGCATAAAGATTTCGATACGTCTAAAGAATTTATGCATAATAATAAAATGACAAATAATGTATTGGCTTTTATTACACGCTCTTCGAGCGTACAGTGTGAACCATGCTTTATATCTAGAAAAATACCAAAATATCTAATGCTAAATATAATTCTAGTCCGTCCTGGAGAACGCAATGTTCTCCGTGTTCTCCAATGTGATTATTTACAATTATTTACATCAGTCCTGTGGCCATTTTTTGTTTATTTAAATAAGGAAATAATCAGGACCGACGAAAGAGCCACATTTTGGAAAATCTTCTGGTGGGGGAATCATGTCACTCTGTTCTCCAACCTGAAGAATAAGGTCTAAGCCTCTGGTCCATCCTGATGCATGTTCGTCCCTCAGCATCCAAAATCCTGAAGAAGAAAAAAAATGTTAAATGTACAAGTATATAATTTTTTTTTTACAAATCTCAAACTTTAATTACCAGGATTGTCGGCTTTGAATCGCAATGCAACTGCGCCATATTTTGGTACAGTCACTGTGTCTTTTAAAGGCGCGCAATCCAAATTCCTCGAAAACAGTGCACCGTCTTCATCCAAATCCTTAATGTCCTTAAGAGCAATGCTCTTGCCAAATTTGCGTGCAGCTACCACGTGAAAACTGTAGCCATGAAGATGATAAACCAGATCATCGAGGCCACCTATAAAAAAAAAACGCGTATTTCAAGTAAAATTTAATTTTCATAAATTCATTCATGAACAAGAATCGATACGAATAAGAGAAAAGTTTTATCCTTTCCAGAAAAAAAATTTCAAACAGAAATTTCAAACCACTAACACCGATTTCATTATACGAGGTGGTATTGAATGTTGGCCAAAAGCGTAAAAAAAAAAAAACTCCTGCTGTAAAACTTCCTTAGAAATCATAACTCAGCCGACCTTAGAATAAAGGGAGGCCCTAATGTGTTTGTAAAAAATGGCCGAAGGGTGAAGCTACGATCAATAACTCCTGTTTTCCCAGCCTCCACGTGGACTCTGAGATGTGGCTCAAGGTTTCCGAGTCAAGGCTACGTCACTGTAACACTATTTGCTCAGACCTACTTCAAGGTATCCCAAATTTCACCTACTTCATACGACCCAAATTATTTAATCATCATACAATCCAACTTTGACCTTTGACCCAATTGCATAATTGATTAAATACAAAATTTCATTATCTCCACGCAAAATTAATCTCTGTCTCGAAATTTCAGTGATGGTCACCTTGGTCCAGAAGAATAATCTCAACAGTTGCACCCAGAGGAATACGACGCACGTGAACGCATTCGCACGTAGGAGATTCATTGCCGGCGTCGCGACGACAGTTACCCGACGCCCTTGTCTCGTCTCCGTCGGAATCGCCTCCACCGCCACATATCAGACCCTGCGCCACGTCATCACGCTGGGTCAATAACGGGGATGACGGAAACGTGAAAGTCGCGTTGTCCACATTCAATACTCTGGCATCCACTTGACCGCTTCCTATAATTTTATAGACTCTTAAGATAATTAATTTTAAAAAATAATCAAATTATAAATCTTACCTGTAAAATCTGCAGACTGTATTTTGTAATTGATAGGAAGATAGAGAGTCACGTCCATTCTTTTCTTTGTTAATGATTTATACATCTTGCGCATTGCTTTCATTTCCGTTAAGCATAATTTCACTGGATTTTCACAATTCTCTATTATATTGGTTGTCATTGCCAATTCTTTCTGAAGAATATTGTCAATATCATCGTTATGGGCGATTTTGTTTTTTTCTGAAAGATTCACTTCCGGACTTCCTTTATACTTGAGTATTGCTTCTCCATTAAGGATATTGTCCTCACACGCTTCACTGGCTTCCACATTGATTCTGTATGTGAATATCCGTTTATTTGTTTTCAATACAAAATCCACACGTTCCCCTGAAACGAAGGTGATCGATTACTCAAACTTGTAAATGATTCTGTAAAATAATTGTTTTCAGAAATTCACAATCAGCACCTTTGGCAAGACTGATCGAAGTCACTTGTTGTGGACTGACAGGATGACCGTCCAGAGCGATAACCAGTAAGGGATGATCATCGATGGAAATCATCATTGGACAAGAACCGGATCCTCCTGCATTGGCTACACGGAATCTGTGTCGACGACCTGGGATGACTTTGAAGGTCGTCAAAGGTACTTGAGGTCCACCAGGTTGACGTCCTTTACCATTGACAAGGATTATCGATGATTTGAAATTAGCATCGGTACCGGCTGTATGCTGCCACTGTGTGATCAGCATCACGTGATTGGGATCATCAATGTCGTACAACGCTCTGTGAAGTTCTCTGAGGTCTGCCTGTCGCACGATCAACGAGCCAAAGATTCCATCAGCCATGTCAGCACCTAGTTAAACGGCGATCATTGGGTTTTAAAATATTTTACGTAATTCATAAAATTTACGTGACTTTCAAGTAATAACCAGAGTGAGCGTGCCAGAGATGAGTTCCTGGTGCTGCTGCACGAAATTTATATTGAAATGTCGTGTAACTCGGTATAGGACATTGAGTAATCAATGGAGCCCCATCCATACAGGGTGTTTCAATTTGTGATTGACCACGCCAATGAACAGCGGCAGCTTTACCCGGTAGACGATTCACCACGTCGACAACCAGAATATCATTTTCGCAAACCTGAAAATATACATTATTTAATAGTAATAATAATTTCGATCAATCTTCATTTATTTACTAAATTACAGTTTCGATGGTTATCAATAATTATCGGTGACTTGGTAATTTATAGATTCCCCATTAAAATCAATAAATAATTCTTAGACTTTTATTTACAAAATTAATTTCAAGCGGATAGAGATTAGATTTTTTTCTAATGAATTACAATATCATGTCACCTGTATACTTGGTCCAGGCATTTGTCGATTGGCTGTCAATAATCCTCGTTTCTGTCCATCGGCGGAAACGCAATGATTGGCGAGACAGGCTGTTTCATTCGCGGGACAGTCGCCGCAAGATCTAATGAAAATATAAAATTTCGTCAAAGCATAATTTTCGAAAAATTTCTTCCAAGTCAAAAATACGAATTTCGAGGAAATTTTCACAGCCCTCAGTGCCTCCACCATTGGTTGCAGTTACGTAAGAACGCATAGCGGCCATCGGAGTAAGCAAAGACCAGTAATTGTAAATTACTGGCCTGTTACCTGTTTGACGTAATAGCCATTAAAAATCATTATGACGCAACAGTCGTAAGAGCACATTATCAACACGATCAAGAATAAATATTAGGTCACGGAAAAGTGGAGTACATAAAGTAATACACACATCGCCTAAGATAATTAAAGAAATTTCAAATGAAAAAATTACCCAAACAAATTTTTTATACGAATTTTCATAAGAGATTCGTTAAAAATTACTTTTTTTCCCTAGTAACAAAATCGAATAAAAATTTTTCATCCTCGAGTATTTTTTATCAAATCGCTCAGTCTCGATAGGCTCTTTAATTCGAGTATAAATTTTTTCATTCTTTTTTTCAATATTAATTTTTTTTATCTCACTTGCTAAGTGACTGGAAGACTTCCAGTGTCAGTTTGACCCGACAGATCATTGGCCAGTCCAAATGATGACACGGACGATCGCATGATAGGAACGTCTGTTCTGTAACAAATAATTTTACAAATCCACAATCGACTCGCATAACAGACATTTATTTCACGCAATTGAGACTTTTGAGATTTTATAATTTTTCTTTAACCCCCCATACAGAAAAATTCACTTACTGGGTGTGTAATGACTGAAATGCAAAATAGTCGCTGCAGCTGCTATCATCATCACTACTATAGTGAGTCGTAGGAAATAAGTGGTAGGTGATACCAAACGTTGAACATATTTTGAATGGTGCATCGTCAACCTGATACTATTGTTAGACACTAACAAGAGGTGAGACCACTGCTATTTATACGTGAAGCTGAAAGAATTTTTCAAAATTTCATACGCGACTCGGTCAGTACGAAATTACAAAAAGTATCTAAAAATGCATTTTTTTCATTATATAAATTGAGCAATTAATTGATAAAAAATCGTGACTACGAATCAGTACTACAATCTGCTAAACTTTGCTGCATGTTTTCGTTAGATTCCTCAATTTCGTGACTGGCCAATATAATGAGACTTAAAAAATAAATAAAAACAGTATCGATGCGCAAGATGAAATAGTATAAAATGACGAAATCTAAAAAAAAAAGCATATTCCTAGAATTTCACTAAAAACCTTATCGATCTTAATACCAGAAACATCTTCATTAATCTGCAAGACATTCTAGCAAGATGAATGATAAATATGAAAAAAGGATTTCACGGGGACGTAAGATGTTCCCAGAAAGTAATGGCTTAATAATGCAACATAGATTAATGTTGATAAAAGCGACTGAAACGTAATACGTATGAGAAAGGATAATCACACGAAAATCAGCGATCCTCGCATAATCGTACCAATATGCAATAATCAATCAGCACAATTTCAACGATTAAATACATATACATATATACATATCGATGAACGAGTCGCGAAAACAATGAAAATTGAAATTTAACAAAAAAAAAGCGGCATAATTTAGCAATTTACTAAAAATCTTCGCTAAAGTCAAATATTGAAAAGAATTTATAAATAATATTGACAGATTTGCACGGGGAAACGAAAATTGTCGTTTTTAAGACATTTTCAAATAGCCCAATGCGAAAGTGTCAATAAAAAATATATCACAGCACCACGCAAACACTTCCGTAAGCACATGCAGGATATCCAAGGGACACGTGGTCCTACGCCAAAGTCGTAGACACGGCCATTCGCATCGACGCACGAGACACGAGTGTTCGGAGAGAATTGAATTACAGTGAGAGAGACGAGAGCTTTCGGCGGTAAATTAGGGGCCCGTTATTGCAGATACCAGGTAGAGGTACCAACTGGTCCCCAGCTGTACGCAGAGGCCGACACCCTTAACAGTACAGTATATAAGAAACCTTATGTACTTCTAGCCCGTAACGCTTTTCGTACATAGTGAAGGTGGAATATGTGTCAGACTTTGAAGTAGTGAAAGTTGCGGAGCAGGCAGACAGAACTGCCCCACGTTTATCCCGGGCTGGCAAAGATAAAACGTCCTTCCATCTCTCAATTCTACAAACACTTTCATCCTTCGACCTTTCTCCTTTTTGCTGCGGTTGTATCTGGCGCTGGACCAAACCGGGATTTCACTTTCGCTGTACGACGATGCTAAATAAAAAATACCACTTGGAGACACCGCAGAGCCATTGTCGTAGGACGTTTAAAAAATTCTTGTTACAAAGCTAATGCCATTTCACTGTACCATTTGAGGATCATTATGATTTAGTATAAATAGTCGGTTTGCCTTCTGGCGATATTTTCGTTTAATGAAACATGGATTTTTGAGGAATTACTTTCTAAAGAAATTATCTTTCTGATGCTGTACGAGTTGACGATTTAAAAATCAATCTTGACTTATTGAACTGAACTTTTTTTTGGTGATCAAGGGTGTCCGTGTAAATTGTACTTTTAAAATTTTTCTTGTAACTTAGTTTACCTTAATTTATTCTATTTCATAAAGAACTTATATGTTGGGTTTGTACATTGTATGGTAAAGAGAAACGTCATACAAACTTTTTCCTATTTACATTTACGGAGTTATACTCGTTCAATGTGTATATAGACATCAATCGTGGTGAATCGTATGTATCTACATATGGTAGATAAGTACCGATGTGCAATACATAACCTGTAGTATAACAAAGAAAAAAGAGAAAGTGAAACCGGATGAAATTAATATTTTTATAAGTGTACTGGTACGTGAAATTCTTATTGGTCCGAATATTTTTTATGTATCATACAAATTGATAGTAACAGACGGTTACTGTTTTAATTATATACCAGCTGTATTGTTCTTGGTTATATGGTCTCGCCTAGTCAGGTACTGAATGCAATCTATTGCAGCAGGTTATTTACCTCAACAAATAAATCCACGACTCATCCTCGTTCGCCATTTTATATGTACGAAACTGCATGCGTTTACTAGGGTTTATATAGTGCGAATTATTGCGACCGTTTGCAACCGGTGTCGAGACAATAGAAAGTTTGTAAAAAGCAGTCTATATTTTTACAAATGACATTTCGTAGAAAATATCTATTACCTATTATAAATTACTTTCTCCTAATGAATACGAGAGAGGTGTAAAAACGAAAGTTTTTACTTCGCAATTTCAAGAGTTCTTATGCAGTATATTTTTCTTGCCGAAAGACTGTTTTTTAGCTTGTATACGTAGTATATTGTGACTCTGTTTCTAAAATGAAAATTAATTGTTGTGCTAATAACAAATACATAAAATACGGTAAATTATTTGTTATATGTATATTAGGTGTTGGTTGTAGTACCATAAACCGGTTTTTGTTATCTTTAATTAAACCTAGTAAACGCAAGAGCGAGCTAGTCATGAGTCCTTACTGGCCCAATGCACTTACAAATGCTCCAGTGACGGTCGAGTACTGGGCTACTTTTGTGTTTATTAGGAAAATTATTGTAGTCAAAAATTGTAAATTGCTTATCTTATTTATTGATATATTTATATGTACCTGGTACAGGTGTTAAATATATGATGGTGGCTACTACCGAACCAAGTCCGACGAAAATGGCGAACCTGAAGACCATTTTCACGTATGATGAATACCTGTGATTTCTTGATTCTTGATGCACAAAGCTAACGGGATTTCGAGTGTGCAAGAGTACGACGAACTTGCCAGTAACGTAGCCGGGAATACACTGGAATATACTAACATCCAACTGGCCAAGTTCATTGCCAGAGAGAGTTGATCTGTGGTTAAAAGGAAGAAACTGCTTTCAGTATGGATACAGGAAGCATAATATGTGCAACCGTGTCTTTATAAGTTGATTTAATTACGTAGGTAATTAGTAGCGTATGAAGATAATTTAAATTATACGCTAATAATGATAATCATGCATAGATCGGAGCTGGATTTATTTAATGATTAATATCGATCGAAAGTTTATTAATTCGAGGATGATAATAACGGTGGGCTTTATTTTCTTGTAACTGAAGAATGAAAATTGGAAATTTAATTTCGTTCGGATGTATTATTCGATTTGTTGATTAACAATATTTTTAAGAATGTGGTGGTATTCGTCATTAATATTGCTTACCTTGTAATAAGAAGAGAAAGGGTTTTGTCATGTCTTTGCAAAGATCTTTGTTCTCCTTTACCGATTGATGGTTTCTGAAAGGATACTGGTACGTTGTGAGTCTATTTGCGAGAGAAACGTTAAATTGATTTTATGTATTGTTATTTAGGGAAATAAGTATGAACGAAGTAACAGCTAATAATTTTCAACAATTATATCCAAAAGTGGAGAATGCCTTGAAGAATGCAACTTTTTTTGGGGTCGATTTGGAGTTTAGTGGCCTGCACGCTGGTGAAGGCGTCCAGTATAGGTTAGCTTTTTGAATCAAGAGAAACTGTATATTTGTATACATGCTTCAGTTATTTCTTTTATACTGTTTTTTCAGTTTATTTGATACAATGGAAAAACGTTATGTTAGATTGAAGGCAAATCTGGAGCGTTTTATAGGAATACAGTTTGGTCTCACTGCATTTCATTATGTGCGTGATGAGAATAAATACACTGCGGAATCCTTCAATTTTTTTCTCGTACCCAGATCTATTCCTACAAAGAATAGACAGTTTACCTGTCAGGCAGCTGCAATAGAATTTCTATGCAGTTATGAGTTTGACTTTAACAAGGTATATCAATTATTTATTCAACTCTTATTCAAATAATTAATGTGAGGAATTTTCTTATATTTTTAATGTGAATATATTATTTTCAGTGTTTCTATGAGGGTATCTCATATCTCAATGAGATTGATGAAGCAGAGTTATGTAACCAATTGAAAACAAATTCAAATTTATGTTACGAAGAACAATTTCTGTCATATAAAGATGAAAATGAACTCAAAGTACACAGTTTCCAAATCTTTGAATGGCTACAAACTAATCCAAAAGATCCTATAGTGATACATACATCAACACCAATTCTACAATACCTTCTGCAGAAGGAATTGAGAAATCAATTTCCCAATATATGGACGTATGCAGGAGATAGGAAGGTATTTTTCAAAAACGTAAAAATAAGACAGTATGGCACATATAATATGTAATACACTTCACATTCCTTGTAGGTCACTGTACTAAAAGTGGAAAAAGATGTTCGTATTAGCCTACAAGAAAAAGAAGAACATAACATAGAACAGGTGTTTCTAGATTATTATATTGGATTTTCAAAAGTATTTAAACTTTTAATTAATTTGAAGAAACCGATAGTAGGTCATAATGTTCTTCTAGATCTCATGCTTATGCACCATCAGTTTTACAAACCATTACCAAGTAAGCAGTCTCAATACATAACAAATCTTACAAGAAGCTGTAATAAACATTCATATTACTAATATGATTTTAGAAAGATATAGTGAGTTCAAAAAAAACATCCACCAACTATTTCCCACAATATACGATACAAAGTTCATTAGTTACGAAATGAAGAATCTTGTAGACAAAGAAGGTATCCCAATAACTTATCCACGAATGGATTTATTTGTTCTCATATAATAATTAGAAAAATATATATTTCAGTATTATGGAAATTGAATGCACTCAGTGTGTTATATACACATTTCAAAGATGGAAAAGGAAGGCATTCGACTTTACAGTCACCATTCATCGAGTTAAAAGAAAAAACAGTAGCAGGTGATATTCAATTGAATTCCTTCAATCAATCCTATTCACTACAATCCTATGCACTTTAAACATTGTTCTTACTCCCACCAACTATTCTTTCAGACAAAGAGAAGTATCACGAAGCTGGATGGGATTCTTACTGTGCTGGGTTCTGTTTTATTAGACTGGCACATCTGTTTGCCGTAAATTCATTGGGCAAGTGAGTCAATAATTCGAAATACGTACTACTCAATGTCTATCAGATTGCAACATTAAAACAATGTATTTATAACACAGGGGCTCCGACTTAAGGCCTCTAACGAATATCGAAATAATGTCTGGCGTAAAGAACTATGCGAATTGCGTGAACGTAATGCGAGGTATCGTTACACACATGGTAAGAGTATAGCATACATTAAGTTAAATGTTCATACAAGACTATCTTAATATACTGCGGTCATTAAACACACATTATAAATTTCTTAGAAGCTAGATGGACCTGATCCAGAACAGAAAAGAATAAAATGGCTTCATGTTCAATCCCTGGGACGAGAAGCTCTAAATATATCAGAAGTAAGTTTGACAAAGTAAACTTGAACAATTTAACTTAATTTATTAGACAATGATTTAGACGAAATTTTCTTATTTCGGTTTGAGATTGCTGAGACGTTTTCTACATATGGAGCCATGGACGTGAAATTATGTACACCTGAACGCGCAGTGATAGCTGTATCAAATCAAAGCAGGTTTGTATATATATATATATATTATATTTGTACATATGTACATGATTCAATCATGACAAACAACAGGCGCATACAAGCTGGTGAATGGTTGATGATATAAGCAATTTTCAATGATAAATATTAACAGTTTTCTATGGACCAAATTCTGACTTCAAATACTACATACACTAGTACTATAGTTATCAACAATGCCATTACGCGCTTCGCGTGTTTGCTTTTGTGGTTTAAAAATAGTCGAATTATACGATAGTTCCTGAAATACCATTCCGCGGCTCTTCGTCTTTTCTATCTTTGTAAATCGTTTAAGTGTTTCATGATTTTTACGTGATCTCTCCATTTCCTTTATATTTCATTCATTCATTCTCTAACGATGAAATAGACACATAACAGTACCCTCGTCAGCTTCCGTTCTCGATTCTAATTTGGCACTCGGTTATAAATTATACGTTTTACAACGATCCCGCCCCTCTTCGGGCAGTCACTGAGATAACGGCACTTTAAAGATATCGAATCTTCAAAGGGGTCTATCATCGAGCATTAGTCAAACAGGCTATATCTAGCAAGACTATCAAGCTAGCCTCTTTTTTCAATACATTTGTACATGGATATTTAGTTCAAATTAATCATCATGTTTCAAAAGCTACTTCATATAAGTGGCATTGAGCAATATCATGCAAATCAAAGTGATCAAACATTTCCAATATTTATCAATATCATTCAACAACAAATCCTATCGTTCATCAACGTTCCAATTGATCTTCTACAGCAGTAAACAAAGAATATAACTTTCTAGAAGTTTCCAGAAGAATCAGTTGCAATGACGCAATGAAGAAACAGGAAACTGGCTCCCAATATGTACATTTGAGATATCCGAGTCCCAATCACTCGGTGATCACAGTCATTCACGTGGCGAGTATATTGACTGACGTATCAATAAATTTAGATCCAACATCTATCTAATTTCAATTAAAATATCTAGGAGAGGATTTCTATCGAGGGAAACACGATGGACAGCACCCCATGTTCTAAGGATTGACGATCCAAATAAAACGGAGCCGTGAGCCTCGTTTTGTATCTCCTATTACTACACACAATCCTCCATTGCCTGGCAATTTTACAAATAGTTTTCTACCTTCAGTCTCAGTCGGCCAAATGGCAAACTGAACGGATCGTTTCGCCGTGATTACTATAATTGATGATGCCGTTCAAGATTTATAATCAGCTATGAATTTTCTAGCGCAATAAACTCTTTCCATCGGCGAAGCTAATTATACCAACGTGAAAAATTTTCCTTTGGTACATAGTCTCATCAGGCGTTAAGATATATGGAACTTTGCGAATTCATAAGTATGAAAGCTAATTGAGTGTTAGGACCGACTGAAGTCAAACAAGTTTTCATCGCGCTGTCATCGGACGCAAATGTTTTTGCTGCAGCTTGTCAGCCTGACAAGAAACACATGTAATTCATGGGTTTTAAGTTCACCGTTTGGTCGTAGCATTTGGGTTAACATAATAGGTAAAATGTAGGTGCGTTAAAATTGGAATAGCCATAAAACCTTTGTCCCTTTTAAAAGTTCTTTTTTACGCTTGGGTCACGAAATTCTGTAGTTTAGGCCTAGATATGATTTTTGATGAATTTTACAATTTTTTTTTAAATTCCCAACCGTCTAGTTACGTTCCAATGGAACAATTCTGTGAATGTTATTGTTGTATTTCATCATTTTTTCAATACGCTTGTTTTGCTCAGATTTAATTCTCGTTTTTGAATCTTTCCGAAAACATACCCAAGGCATATTCTTAGCAGGTGTGACAGATTCCACGCAAGTGCGAGGCATTTGCGTTTGCATTTTGCGTTCTCCCCTACGCACTGAGCAAATATAATTAGCTAATAAATACGCAGTTGGTATTTTAGTTTAAAGAGGCAGCGGAGCAAGGCAGAACCATTTTGGATGCCATCCAAGGGCAATGATGTATTCATCGTCGTATTTATGAATTGTAATATTAATGTACGTCATTTTAAATAATTACCATTCCGTATGAATATTCCGACCCCTGTGACATTAAAAATCTCTTCATGGGTTATGGTTATTGCATTTCAGACAGTTTTTTATAACATTCAAAAATATCTTGAATCATAGTATTTTCGTGACAAGCGTAATATTTATTTTTTAACTAGTTACAAAATAGTACAATCATTTCGAGGCGTATCTGTCAGAAAATAAATATGTTTTTTGGCAATTTTACTAAATTTACATATATTTTTCTCGATGACTTACACTAAAATAGTCGTTTACCAGAAACTTGAATCTTCTTATCAGAGTCGTAACCCTCCTAAAATACTTCCAGAGGTGAACAACCTGAGATCACCGAATGACGACGTAGCAAACACTCAGCCCAACTCCTACGATTTCATTTCGAGGAAAATACGTATCTCAGGGAAATATAGCCCGTTTTGAAAAATTTTTCAAAAAACAAGTGAGAATTCAAAAACTGTGTATACGACGAGATGAGAGAAACGTTGATTAAGATTTCAAGATAATTTTCATGTCGATGTCTGATATCAGTCAAATCTCTGACCTATATATTTTTCCATTGTTACTTTGATTGCGTACCAAACGATTCGATTACGTATCGGCACGGGAGTAATCAAAGTTTTTATTATTATTAACCTCAAGAATCCTTCAAGTTCACGAGGCTTTCGAATTACAAGAATTTTTCATGTATGAGTCAAAGATTGTCGAAATGTCAGACACGTGAGAATTTGAGTATCGATTTTACGCACGATACTTGCATATAGTTTTACGTCATAACCCACGTGTGTTATGTTTTCCCAAAAATTTTTGCATTTTTTATTAAAGATTTCCAGAATATTCGCCGTTAAGTTGATTAAGCGATCTTCGTAGAATTCTGTTTGTGAAATCTGAAATATCATAATTTTCAAGGTTGAGTCAGTGTTATAATAGTTATATCAAAAATTTGCTATACAGTATCTTCATAAAACGCGTTTATTATAAACCAGACTGATTTATGAGATTATTGGATATTATTAACGAACGATATCGTTGCCTTGAGAAATCGATTGAAAATTGTGTTATATATATATATACTTATTTTTTTACATATACACTGAAAATTTATTTGGTAATTTTCAAAATTCGTAATTTAGACTTTTTAGTCACGTATGAATTTTTTCGTATTTTCTCTCGATGATTCTTCAGTGTGCTACAATCAGTGGGCAACGATTTATTTATTTGGCCACACTGTATGAACTTCCACTCCAAGTACGTATTTTCATCCTGTTACAACATTATTATACAACCGACGCTAAAATCACAAACTCTCTGCTTGTCTCTGTTTAGTATTGCTGTTAAGCACAGCTATCAAAACTCGACCAGTTGGTAAACTCGAAAAGTCAATGAACCTTTAATTAAGGAACTGAAAAATCTTTGAATTCCTGCAGCATAGAGATTCGAAATGAAATTTTTGTACTGGTGATAAATACTAAAAATTTTGAATTTCTCATGGTCAATTATTTCTAGGAAATCTTTCGCGAGCTAATTTCTCTTCTTATTTTGCAAATCTTGCCAAACTAAATAATTATTATATTCCAACGATATCCGTTCTAATGGAAGTCCATTTATTTATCATTCAAAATTTGAGCAAGCATCGCGGCCTGTCCAAGTTGACGTAAATTAGCCGATTGCAAAAAATTGCAATTACTTTCGTAGATGTAAAACTACTAAAGAGACAAAAACTGTCTCGCTATTATTTTTTTTCAAAAATCTTTATTCTTTTCCCAACGTCATTCTTATTCCGACAATCTACGTTTTTCATGACAATTTTCCGAAAAATAACGATCTAGAAGATAATGCAATTTTCGAAGTTGCATCTCGCGGCCGACGCACAAGCGATCCAAATGCATTTTGCGCAGTCCTCGTGAATTCCTAAAATCTTGGGGCGGTTCCAGGAAAAACAATTGAAATTTATCATTATGCAAAAAAAACCTCGGTAAAATGTCTCGTCAAGCGTAAAATTTTCACGTAACAAAATATCTCACTTACATTATTATATATAAAATTTGTCTGAAAAAAAAGAGACACTGTACTCGTAACAAAGAACGTCATTTATACATATTTTTACGAAAAAATATCCGGCCTCCCTCACCATCTACACACTCCAAAAAAGCCGAACTTAGCCTAACCTAACCTCAAAATAAATTACCATTACGCTTTGCTACTAAGTACATGTTTTCGTGTATGCTTCGTAAACTTACGTAATTCCCTCTTGCAGATATCACGGGGATCGTATATTATCGATACTATTGTAGATTTTTTACGTCATTGGCATTCCTCCAGATCAAAGGAGAATCTCCTTGCGGATGACCGGAATTTCACGCAAGTCTTGTGCGTAGTGACTTGGTCTTACATAAAATGGGGAGAAAGAAAAAAAAAAAGAAAAAGATATTAAAGATGCAAGAAAATGAATGCAGAGAAAAAACTGTACGAAATATTCGAAATATTTCAAATTGAATTTGCGAGCGTGATCGAGACAATGCAAATTTAAAATTGGACGACACGTGTCGCAAAAAAATTTTATTTCGTAATTTCTTCATTCTCTATTTTCTTCTCGAGAACGTCTTCGAATTTTCTGTTTTCCGTTTCAACGTTTTTATTCATTTTTTTTTTAATTTTTTTTTTTACAGCGCTCATAATATTCTCAAACACTTCCGGTCTCATAAGGAACTACGAGTGTCACCCTACAGTCTGCTAAAACATTCACCCACCATGAGAATTTTGTTTTGGTAAGTTTTTCAAAATTTTCATTACGCAACTCAAACATTTTAAGCGAAGGAGTCGATCGTCATCCGTGACTCGTAGAGAATATATTACGTTTTGACTTTCTTTTTTTATTCAATTTTTTCGTTATTTCACTTCCGTTTTTTTTGCTTTCATGCAAAACGTGAAACGATGATTATTCTGAGGTTTATGGTGGTATAACTTCAGTCACGTGCGTGCAGTGGGAACTTGTTTACAAGTTCAAAAAAACGACTCACTAAGCATCACTGTCAAAATAGACAGGCAAAAAATACAAGTATCGGGGGGTTGGGGTCGTTCCGGTTGAGCGATTTTCAAAAAGTTCCTTTGGACCGATCGCCAAAAGACGTTATACCGAACTAATAAACTTTCCATTAGTCGGTTACTCACCGTGCGTGTAACAAATCGCGATCTATGAGTAACAAGTGATATAAAACGAATTTTCAAAAAAATATTCCTTCGTTTAAGCAAACATTTACGAGTAACTTTTTAAACTCCGTTTAGTAGTCTATAAAGATTCTTATATACATTTAAAAAAAAATTATCTCTTTTAGGAGCGGCCTCGTGATCTCTGGCGGAATGGTCGCATGGATGCTACATCGTAACCTGGAAAAGTCATCGCTCCAATGAGGATAAACCGTAACGCGTAAACGTTGCGAAACAGGCGTAAAGCGAAATGAAGATTTAAAGAGGATCCGTGGGATTGCGCCTCGCCTTGCGTCTTCATGGAACCATGCTGGTAAATTTGTTTTTAAGAGACGAGTATAATTCTCTTGGCAAAGGATTTTCTTTGAAGAGGAAAAAGATAGAAGGAAATTACATTGGAACAAGAAAGATGCACTCTCAATTATCCATATATCAACTGGTACACGAAATTTTCTCGCATCTCCAAGAACTGTCAATTCTCTTCACAATGTATTCTCCGACATTATAATTTCTAATGCTAAGGACCGTTCACGTGCAACGGCTATACGCTTCGTAGAAAATCTCGAGAACGTTAAAATAACTCGGCAGGGTCGCAGCACCACCGTCCCGGACGAAGCCTGCTCAAGAATCCCGGGTACGAGATGGCATATCCTTGCCCCATGTCGCAGCTGCTCCAGGAGATAATAATTTCACCGAAACGCTGAAGAAGACCCACTGGCGGGCTTGGATGTGATTTGGGAAAGAAAATAGAAAAGGACTCTTGCGTCAGAGCTACTGTCTACGTCATTAATTCCTAAACGCATCAGCCTGTATAGATATTAGGATATTAGATAAGCTCGACCTCGTCTCTGCGAAGCGAAGCAGAACGCAATGACGATGCTAGAGTACGGTGGCTAAGGTGTCTCCGAGCGGACGTACCCGCGGCGCCTTCCCCGATATTTCAAAAGTTTTATCTGGCCGCAGCTCAAGGCCAAAATACTCGAAATAACGCAGCAATTCGTGTGGGCGTAGGGGACGAGCATCGGACGCGTCTCTACCGAGCTGGTGGTGAGCGTCATGGCAGGTGGGGCGAGCGAAGGTAGTCAGCCACCATCTCCACATCGCGATCCTGAGCTCACGGAGACATAGAATTCGGGTTTTGGGGCCGACGGTTGCTTCTCGAGCCATCGCCGGGAACTGGGTTGGCTACGACATAACGACCTGGCGTAATACTCTTATACGGGAAGCTCGACGAAGACTTCCTTCGGCCTTGCGTTTCGTCTGGAGTGTTTTCTTTCCTTCCTCAATACCGCTGGAGTCCATGAACAACGCTGGGAGAACCTCGTGACGTAGGCTTAGTGACGTAATCAATGGTTATTTGGTTTTCGTTTTTTCTATACGGAATAGCAAACAGACGCGGGAAATATGTTATGGTTTTATGAGCGATTAAGCTAGGGTAGTCATTAATTTGGTTAATTACCATTAGATTATTTTATAACGATTTTATTATTCTTAGTTGTAGTTTTCATATTTATGGATCTGTTAGAAGCAGCTTTTTTTTCTGTTGCTCCTTCATATTTCCATCTGGTTTGTCCAAGTCTCATGGCAATTCCTTACTGTACTCATCCACTTACATCTGACTTCGTCTTCTTCTTCTTCTTTTCCTCCTTGTATTTCACCTCCCGAAAACCCTCTGTAGGAACCTATTTTTGTCCATAAGCTGAACAACAGAAATAGACTAGCCTAGCCCCTGGCCTAGAGTGTAGGCTTGACCAGCCATAATAGCTTGACTTCAAGGATTCATCGTGCACACGATTTGCCATGGAAAAAGCGCACAGCTGTCGCTGCATCTACCCGCAAGTTCTTCCTGCCTCGAAGCTTGCGCGAAAGCTCAACCGATGCGCCGAATTGAATTCCTTAGTCAGCGGGTGATACGCGTTATTTCTTTTAGAGGCCAGAGCCTTTCTTCCTTCTCGCTATTACGTACGTATAATATGTATGAAAGTACACGTAAAAGCTCGCTGCGAAATTATTCTTATGGTTAAATAATCTTTTGTACAATTTTTTTACTATTTGAAGTCACGTAACGATGCATTCGAAAGGGTCGCGTTTCGTCACTCGGCATTGGCCGTGCTTTTTATAGTAGCCCGATTAGCGGTCAAATACTTGCGTCCGGTGCTTTTAACGTGCCTGCGACTCGCACGTGGAGCTGAGAATTTGCGACAAAAGCGAATGGAGTACTGCGACACCTAGAGAAACTTAAAAATATACCGACTGGTGCCGCCCCCGTAAATTCGTATATATATATCACACTTCCGAGCACATTAATCTTGTTCAAAAGCTTACCCATTATAACGCGGGAAACCACGACGTTTCAAAATATATCCCAACGCTCGACTATACCATGTGCCAAAAGTACAATGTATCGCTCGAGTACTAACGTTACCTGCGGTTGGCATTGACAGTGAACGGGACTATACTTTTGTCGCTGATAAAATCAGCCCCCGTTTCATCAAGTGCAATTTTGGAATTCTATCTTTTTCTTTTCTTACAAGTTTTTCTTCAACTGTGTCACGGCTGGGTTAGCTTCTTGATATTGGTCGGCGACTGAAAATTTGTCGAACCTAAAATACCAACTTCGACTGTCAACGGGACAGACTATTAGAATGGTGCAAGCTCTGGTCCAAACGAAGGTGGATGGTGATGGACGGGATGAAAAAAAAAGGGAAACCAAGGGCTCTTTCTTTATTTGTTAAGATCGGACCTATGCCCTATATTTCTCTAGGTCGTTGCTTTCGAGGATTTCTCTAGGTAGTGCCCACTAGAAACTACAACAATGTCTCTATTTCTGTACCTTTTCGACGGCTATAGGTATATCCTTGGCACGGACCATCCACGTGAAGTTTCTTATTAAAACACAACCATTACATAATTAAGAACGTCAGATAGAGAACTTGTGAGTAGCGACGTCGACGCCCTGACAAAATGAAAAATAATGGAAAAGGACTATCTCGCCTGTCTTTAAGATGCCCGTCATATTTTTTATTTATTGCTTCTTCATCTGTAGATCCTCAAAGTCTCGACATCCCTAATATTGTGCATAGCTTAGAAACAGCAGGACGATGGAATCAAAGCGAGGGTCGAGGGTGCCAGAATAATCGAATTAAAAGAATAAATTAAAATTCAATAAAAAATCATCTACTTCGCCAAATATCTCGTCATCAGTTGCGGATCACGACAAAATTCGACCTCGCAGCATCCTTGCGACTATTTTCGCGCAACGTTTCGACATGACTGATGCGAATTTTCTGAACGAAAACTTTGTCCCTCGATTCTGCCAAATGATTTTCAAGCATACGAAAATTTTTGGCGAATATTAAATTCAAAATTTACGTTCAGTGGTCGGACCAGTCATTTCTTATAATTTTATAAAAATTATTATAGGATTATTTTTTTCCAGTGGCTTATTCGCGTATCGTATATGGACTTCGAGGTTTTCCGGTCCTCCAAAGGTTAATTGAGATCGTCGGCATCGCTCACTGTACTCGCTCTTGGTTTACTTCACTGGTTATGCATTCTGGGTATTCACCAGGAAGAAGAATACGAGGACGAGGATAATCCTCTAGAAATTATAATTGTCCGCCAATTAAACTTCACGGATCGGACGATATGTCGTCCCAAATATAGCAAACCATCCCTAATGCTCGAACTGGTATGTCATTGGGGATTCGTGGTGACAGACGCTATTATGCTGGCTCTTCTTGTCATGCCAAGTATCGTAGTTCGTTATGCAGACGTTAGACTATATTTGGGACGTTGAGCCATGATTACTTCACTGGCCCAGTTGGCCGTTGATTGGACCCAAGTATTTTTAGTGAGGTCGCTAGATCGGCTCTCTAATGTAAGACTAAAGCACATCGCAAATTACTCAGCTTACTTGCGAATTAGTTTCTTAATGCAGCTAACAAGGACTGCTTATACACATTGGTCTAAATTTGCAGATTATTTAAAATCCAAATAAAATTCAGGTACATGATTCCTTGGCGAGGGCTAAGAGGCAACACTTGCTGTGCCAGTGTTTTAAGTTTTTATAGATCAACTCAACTCGATGCCTGAACACTTTGTGATCATTGGATATATTCGTGGATTTCATTTAATTATCAGACTTTTATTTTTACTTGAGAATCCAAGCGTTAGACTGGTTGAAGAATAGATTCAGGTATGCCCGGGCCCGGGTCTTACCTCCCGTCTATGATAAATAAAATTGAGAATCCGTTTCGACCGACTCTAACCGCTCTACGCGAGATCCAAGATTTGAGATTGGACATTTTACATTCGCCATATTGTATGCCAAAAATTATTCAACCGTTTCATACGTCTCTGCGTTTATTATGTTATGTGTTATGTATGTATGTGATCTCATATCACTCCATGAGCCTTAGTTCGTTTCCTTTGATGACGACTGTTTATTATTTTCAAACTTTTTACTTCCTTTTATTTGACTTTCCTTCATTCATGGCGAATATCTTTTAGTTTGAAACCGATGCCGCGCGACTGATGGCCAACCAAAGCACTGTGAGATTTATTGCTGGAGTCATTAGTGTATACGCTTGGTACATTTGCTCTTTGAATGGCTGACGGATGTGGCGATATGCTTGTAGCTTCCGGATACTTTCTTGCATAGTGTGCTTTAAAGGCACCATCGTTAGTGCTTTCATGGTGGATATTCTTTTTGACTTTTCTCCCTTTTTTTCTTCTACTTGCCAGAGTCATCAGCACGCTGCAAAGATTCAACTATTTTAAGACACTAAGGTACAGTTGCACTATGCGTTTACAGTAAAAATAAACATGTCGAAATTTCATCTTTATACCTGCTACAAGCTGGAAACGGGCCAAATGTCCCGAGACGTTATGCTGGAAAATTTAAGTGATCTCTCAACCAGTTTCCCACGACTTGGTTATTGTTATCAAACCTATCCAAGATCCAAATACCAGTTTTCACTCGTCAACCTATGAAGAAAGAAAAACGTACTGGTGAATTTTATTTTATCACTCAAAATCTTCAACATGATACTCCAGTTAATTTTATTAGCCAAATATAAGTTCTCCTCGTGCAAACCCTCTTTGAAGTTTCAAACCACAAAAATGTTGTGTTATTTGTAAAATTCAACCTCCAAGCAGGCGCACCGCATGCTTCGTGTCTTTGTCTATCATCTTTGTCTCTCGATGTTTCTCTCTGGACTCGTTTGTGAACCACTCTTTGACTCCTACTTCACAAACGTTACCTTTGGCCTCGCTTTGACACGACAGTTGTTCTCCAGTGACGTCACTGGTGAAAACCCGTGCAAATAAACTGGGAATACCGAAGACGAACGAAGCCCGTCTTCCATCTATTCTCGACGTTGGCAACAATAATGCCTCCCAGGGACAGCGACGGATCACAACGTGCTCTCAGCACGGACAACTAATGACGCTTCTTCTTACAAAGGCCGTGCCGTTCTAATTTCGTATTATCATCCCTGCTGACTAAAAATATATAGGGACACGCGGCATGCTATAACCGCTCGTATGCGCATCTGCCAGCCGGCAACTGTTTAGCACTTTAATAGCTTTTGGTCTTGGCGCATCCATAGTTACTACTACACTTGGAGATTCGTTAGTCTCATTGCCTTTGATGATAGTTAGATGCTGCATAATGATTATCCATAAAATAAGAATAATTGTCTACGACAACTTTTCTTTATTTTCCAACAGGTAGCTGTCAACAAAAATTTTCTTTTTAGGCACATCAATACATTTTTATCACTGTACATACAAGGCTCTGATACCAGTGTTATTTTGATTTGAAACTAGGAGATGATCTGTTAAAAATTTTCTATTCCACTTTCTTACCAGGTATTTGTGTTTGTTTCAGGCACTTCTAGCAGGCAATATCTTTAAGTTTTATAGCTTTTCTTGTGAAAGGATTGACAACTTTTGATTCTTTCTGGTTATTCAAAAAGTGTCACTATATGATTCATGATTATCATATCTTTTTGACGTGTGTTAACAGAATATTTGATTATACTCATCGTAGTGGATGTACGAGAATCAGTTTGAATGCCTGGGATGTTTGAAGTGTCGAAATGGCGCATGTTGTATGTTTTAGAGTTGATGGTTACTCAAAAGGTGTTGACGTTTTACTACAATTATCTGCAAACCAATGGACATACAGATTGTTTAATTTCATTTTTCAATCAATTTTCATTGTGACTCATAAACACTGCCATTACGTGATTATTTATCATTTCGAACTTGCTCTTTTAACGTTTTTTATCTAGAATCAAGATGACGGCGTTCGTATTTTCACGCGTGGCTGTCATACTTCACGTCAATTTACATACATCGATCTCCTGATAATTCCGTGGACATTAATAATGCCAAGTTTTTGCCTGACTTTTATATAACACCTCATGGCTCGTGTAAAAATATCCACAAGCTTTGAACTGTAGTCGAAATAAACGATGAAATAACAGCGTCTATTTCTGTAACTCATAATGAGTTGCTGATAGTGGCCAAAAATTATTGGGTGAGCCATGAGCATAGAAATTTCATAAATTCGTCGCAAGCTCATGGCCTACTGGCGGCGGCCATCTTGCAATTATGCTCTGTAGGGGTCCATCCCCCTCTCCGCCCAGGCTAGACAAGACTTTCGGCTTTCATCGCAAGAGTGAAACACTCGCGGAAGCTTCCACGGCACGCGATCTATTTATGAACGCCGCTAGATCGGTCTTGTGTGAAAGTCTGCCAATCTTTTGTAATATTTTTACGCACTGTAAGCCCGTGACGAGTGGTTAACGCGTCGGCTTCGCGTCACTTGATCCAAATGTAGTAACGTATAGCGAGCTTTCACGAATGAAAAAAAAAGCTTCAGCTTCCAAGTCACGCATAACCTTTGACCAGTCACGTGACAGCTTTCTCGTTTAAAGGCACAATTTATTTTCCTTAAGGAGTTTGCAAGTCCATCGAGGCCTCGCTGGAGGAAGGTGAAGGTGTAGCTCTGTTACAATCTAAAAAATAAATTTAAAAAAACCACGCATCTTTGAATCGTGTAAATATAGGATTTTGATCTTGAAAAAATTTGTAATTTTACGTACCAAAAATTGTAGGGACTTCGACAAAATTATTGGACCAAAATGTAAGTACAGACAAGCAAGAGCAACGTGTTGCGTATTAGATGCATTTAGAAAGCGGCCAGAGAGATAGTAAATAGGAGCATTAACCGTGCTTTCTGTGCTTGTAAACCGTCTTGAATCAGTCCTCAGAGGTATACCTATATATCATACCGCATCGTGCACACGTGTAGCACAACGCACGTGCGTATGCCGTGCGTAGAAGCAGGGTCGTGCTTAACTTCTGATAGGAAGGAAGAAACATCTTCTTGACGTGTACGTGTAACATTTACGTAGGCGTGGAACGTAAAGAGAAATATAGGTGTACTGGCGTTTTACCCTCTTTCAAGTATGACTTCCTGGTTCTTAGTTCTTTAATCAGGCAGGATGCCATCTTTAGGTGTACACCGTTGGTACTTCATTGGTTTATGAATTATTTGCCTGACACTTTTTAAGCTGCATTTCCTACCTGTAGGTATTTTTGAAACGTAATATTTCCTAAACACATCAGCTGAGCAGATTAGATTCTACAAAGGGAAAACTGTCAGTTTTATACGAGCACTAACTTAATCAGGTATTACAACCACGTGTCGATTAAGGGACACGCTGATCCTTTGATCCTGGTAAATAATTAGTTTACTATGCATCACGTTTAACCTGAGGGATTATCCGTGTTGCATACAGAAACGTTGGGTATCGTAACTGAATTATATTATCAGGAAAATACTCACTGGATATTCGTTCTCACTATTTTTGCTGTTAAAAACCGATTTAATTTACTCCACCGGTCATTTCGGCGAGGGTATAAAAGTCAGGTACTTTTTGCGCGGACAACCAAAAAGACGGAAGATAAACGGCATGTGGGTATTCTGGCCTTTCAAACCGACGAAATTTCGATTTTGGAGGTTAAACGTAGAGACGTAGGAACAGCCGGGACGACTGGCTTACGGCCAAGTTTTTCCTCGTTCCCATCTCGACCACCAGGTAGCGACGTCGACGACTACTTAAGCGAAATTCGACGTAGCCCGTCGCCCCGTTTCGTTCAGCAGCGCAGGCGTTGCCGTTTGAATTTTTTTAAATTAACAATCATGTTCAGAGAAGAGTAGCATTACGGATCTGGGGCCGTCTCAGTGTGTACGTTTTTTTATACCGCTTATAAGTGTAACCGGGACAACGGTGCCGGTGCAAAGTATATATACACACATATATATATAATTGAATAAGAAATTGGTAAGTCCCAATATCCGAGACAACGGTGACGGAAATGCAAAATATGAAATAATTGTACAAAGCAACGACAACGATAAGTGAATTTGTGACGCGCGGAAGTGATAACGAATCAATGACGCGGTAACCATGGGAGACGAATAAAAAAATTCGAATGGAATCTGCGTAAGAGGAAGAACGAAACGCAAAGGAACAAAGGGAGGAAAAAAGAAGTACTCGTACATGAAAAGCAAAATGTATTTAATGAAACCATGTATACAGTGATGTGACATCGAGGCAATAAGGATTCGCCAACATTTCATTAATAATCGCCATCCAACCAGGACTATTCACATGGATTAAGAAATAATTACGTTAGCCCAGTGTTCATGCTACTCGCGAATTATCGGATACGCGTTTATTTGATATACGATGAAAGATTTACCAAATTTTTCAATGTCAACCCTTATTGCTTTTATAGATATTATCGCAGAAGATACTGAAAGTGACGTTCAGCGAGGGTCCAAAATATGGCTGATCAGGGAGCTCGTGGTAGAAATAGTAGCTTCACCGGAGCCACCTGCGACATATTCGTATTGTCTGACGGGTTATGCTCGAATCTAAAGAAAGATCTGTTTCCTTGCTACTTAAGATATTCTATATGTCATAAGGATTTTGTGCGGAGGCTGCTGGGACCATACTAGAAATTTCTGAGATGATCCTTACGGAATTTTTTTTTTTTTTATTTTTTGAACATTTTTCCTATCAAGTTATTAGTTGTGTACCTTTGGTCCGAGTGATTATTTTATTTTTTTGTGAACGAGGTAATTTTTTTATTTACGTAACACCAGCAAGTGGGTGGTTTAGCTTAGCAAGTACTGTTATTTGGTGATTTCTTGGGAAGGGGTAGTTTGCTCTAGAGAATTTTATCTTTGGTATTTTTTGAACGCAGTGCATCGTGGAATTTTCAAACGTAGTAGCTTTAAGATTTTATATGTTGCGAGTGAGATTCCAGGAATCATTAATTGTCTCATCTTTATTTATTTATATTGTTTAATTTCATTATTTCACCTTAGCAACGCAGTTACTTTCAGCCATTATTTTTCATCAAACATTCATTTATATGGGACACAAGTCACATACAAACACGACCTCCATATGTTTGCCAACTAACGCAACTTACGGTCCCTATCTTTATAACCCTTGTGCCATTTTACACTGGTCTCTTCAAACAAGTATCACAAGCATGCATAATCGCAGACAATAATATAATATACTCCCCAATAAAAGTTACCATCCCAAATACCTTTTCATATTACGCATTCCATTGCTGAAGTCAGTATTAAAGTATAAATCTGCTAAATCACAAAAAGGAGATTTAGAATTTTTTTAAATCTTAAAAATCCCTGTGAGGTTAGAAGCTGTCGATTGTGCTAAAAAATTCAGATTTCAAAATTGAAAAAAAAAACTGAAATATCCTCAGAAATCATTCAACGGGTGCGGGTTGTGATGAAAAATTATTTATTTTTGAAAATAAAAGAAAAAAAAGGAAGCAGTATCCTCGCAAGGATCATCTGGATGCTGCCGTTTCCACTCGTCGGGATTGAGTTGGCAGAGTTGCTTGCGACCAACCCTGCCAAAATAATTAGGAAGTCGTCTCGAGACCGTGCTAAAAGTGTCCGCTCGGGCACGCGCGATTTGGCCGCCTAGTCGCGTCCCGGGCGTTTAGTAAGTTAGACGGTGGCGGGTTCGGGTCGCTTCTAAATTTCCAGTTCAGATTGACCGACCGCCAGCCCCGAGGCAGGCTGGTTGTGTAGTGAGTTTTCGTGAGGTGCTTGTCGTTTCGTTCTAACCTCGAATAACCACCTCTTCTTCTTGTTACTTTTCCATCCGCATCCACACCATTCTGTTGCCGTTGATTCTTTTTGTTTCTTACTCTTGCACTACTCTTTATTCTTACACCGACTGGCTTACCGACCTAGCGTTTATTTGTGACTTTTTTCTTATTTATATGCTTTTTCCTCATTTCGAACACAATTCGGATTCCTTCTGTCTGCGTTGGTGACGTTACGTAAGTTAGATATTTTTTTTTAAGTAACTGTACCTTTTTGAAATTTCACGAAGATTTTAATCGAGAATTTAGTCGCTTCTGTAAGACAGTTTCTTTTTAATTTTGACTTTGGTTATGATGCTTTGTTCAGCGAGAAACAAGTTTGGTGGGATTTAAATTATTGTTTTATTTTAATTTTACCTGGGATTTATTTTGTTCTCCTGAGATCATGGAGTCTTAGTCACTTATTATTTTTTTACTTGTAGCGCGATTGGAGGTTCAATCGTTGCGATAAATGTTAAGGTCGGTTTACTTTGTTGCGAAAGCGAATAGAAAAATTGTGTGCAATCTTTGCAAGGATGTTCGTCACCATGCTTGCTTATTGCAATATTATTAATTTAGGTTAGTCAGCCGTCTCGTTCGAGGGCACTGGAAATATTGAAAGTTCATTACTGTACTACTGTTGTACTGGGAATACAATAGTTAATTGGAACGAGGAAAAGTGATCTTTCCTTTTAATTTAAAGAAATGATAATCGTTGAGAAATTTCCGAATTCAAGAAAGTTTCGCGTCAACGATGTTCGGAAATAAATTTATGAGCTTTTGCAGCCCGCAATATGGGCAGTAAAACGTAACTGTTTAAAAAACTTCTTTACCATCAAAGTTGCCGGAAAGTTACCTCTGTGTGCATATAAAAATTATTAGGCGCGCTTCTAAGCTGTATAAAAGCAAAATAAAAATTACTCCGAGAAAACAATAAGGGATCTAATAGCCTTGCGAAATAAAATAATAGAAAATTTCATTAAAAAAATGTACTCAAACAATTAATTTCGTCTTCGCGTAACTGTCAGTAGCAAGTCTTATAATTTCACTTGCAACAAAGATTCTCAAACTTTCCAAATTTTACGAGCATCAGTTATATAACAATACGGTAATGTCCTTTGGTCGTCTTAAAATACGCGCCAAGGAAATAGCATAGCAGAAGCCTGAAAATAACCGAGTGCGTCACGAGCAGCAAACCAAGTCCAGCCAATAGCGTCGCTCCACATGTTCTGATCTTTCGATCCTTACATATTTTCCATGAGCACATATGTACTCTCCATAAAAAGCAAGCTTTCGAAAATTCCTAGTTAAATCAATTAAAACAATTCCATGGTTAGGTTTCACTTTGGTGATAAATAATTGTCTCGACTATAGGTAAAATCTACAGTGTCTCCACCGTATAGAATATTTCGTAGTCGAGTTCGTAGTCAGGAAGGCCGTGGCGCTGCAGTAGCAACGCGCGCCGCAGGGCGGCGCACGTGCACAATGATTTGCCGTTCGCCGTGTCAGTTTCACGGAAGAGGAGGTTTGGTTAGCAGTTAAGAAATATATCGGTGGAAAATGACGTGTATAGTGGATTTTTGTGGTCTCGCCTTGTGATAAAACCTCAGTATTTCTGTGTTACGTATCTCGATCCTAAGCTGTTTTCGTTATTGACGTCGTGTGCTCGTTTTTCGATAATTTTCAACGCTCGTACGATCCTAACCTAAATTACTCATTGTCGTGCCAAGTCCGTTCGTAACGCCACTGCTTAGTGACACGTCTACGAGTGGCCGTTTACGTTCACGGTGAGTTTCTCGCCCATTCTCTTCGAGCTATCATCGCGGTCAAAGAGTTTTCGAGATTCGGTTAGTGACTTCTTCATTATAACCTAATCTTCGTTTACGGACGCCTTTTCTGTAGGCGCTTTGTACTCCATGCTGTGTTGTTTCACATTATTTTCACGCTCTGCTGCTTAGGACGTTGACATTGGCTTCCTCGTATAGTTTCCTTTGTGAAACGACGATCTTGTTAGCGACATTTCATTATGCAGCTTTTCGTGAATGTTTTCATTGCGCGACACGTGTCCATCGGCTGAGTCGTAGCTCGTGGTACGCTTCCAGAATATTTTTCTTTTATGACTCAAGGTATTTGTTCAGATACGATCCACATTTTATTGTTATCTGTATTATCATTTCCTTTCAAATTTATTTACTGCATCTAATCCGACAATGGTGAAATTACAGTTAGGTTTATAGTTTTATATAATACACGGTAGTGAAGATCGGAGAGAAAAGCGAAATATCTGTGTCGCGACGTGAATAAAGGCTTTTAGCCTTATCTACGATTCTTTTCGAGTTTGATATTTTTTGTGCGTCCACCGTTTTTTGAAACAAGAGTCGAAAACAGAAAAATCTCGAAATCATATTTATTCTATAAGTATTATTTTACAATCAACTTTTTAAATATAAAAGTTGTGTATTTAGATTCAAAGTTGCTTAATGCATTCTCATATCGTGCGATTCGTCGTCATTTCGCTTCGAATTACATTCTAAACTCTTTGTCTTACGAAACTCAATTAATATTCACCTCGCTCAAAATAAACGGCTCGACGTATGTATAATTACCAACGCACTCTTCTCCGTATGTGTACACAGTGTTAAAAAAAAGCTGTTACCCATCGCGTTACATTAGAAATATCATTGATCTTCGTATTTCTTACAATTGGACTATCTCGCCGTCTTAAACCTTATATAATATTAAATAAATTAACACACGACTATTTATACAGTACGATTAACGGTGTTGATACATGCTTTTAAATGTTCATATATATAAAACTATTACGTTTCTTCAAGATAATAATACACGGATAGTCACCGTCAACGTCAATGACTATACAAAAACAAAAAAAAATCGCGGAAAAAAAAATCTCCGCCAATTCATATAACGTTACACAAGTATACGCAATCTGTCCAGTGACGAAATGCCTAATTTCATCGAGACTGAATATCGAAATTCTAATATTAGTAGTCGTGAATTTTAATCAGCATATAAATAATTCACAACTATGTATCGCATCTATTCATAATTGATTTGGAAAATTGTCTCTTTGTTATTATTAATTCGATGTGATCCGTCAATGCTAATTCGTCAACGATCGTTATCACTGCCCGTCAATATGCTCCGTCATGCAGTTAACAATAGTAACACGTGCATCGATCGACTCTACTCTAATCTGTGTCTTTTGTGCTTTTAGGAATCGTTTTTGTGAATGAACGCATACAACGGCTGAGTGGAATACTATTGGCTACGATATATTAAAAGAAGATAATCATGGAGGACGGCCATTCGAAAACCGTGGAGGAAGTGGTGAATTACTTCAACGTTGATCCCGAGAAAGGATTGTCCCCGGACCAGGTCAAGAGGAATCAGGAGAAATATGGTCTCAACGGTGAGTCTTGCCATTATATATATATATATATATATATATATATATATATTTTATTAAATAATTCCAATAACGTTGGTTCGCAATCCGTTTAACTTGGCTATTGTTCCACACGAAAATAGTTTCCACGTGCTATAGCGGACGCGTTACAAGAGCAATGGACATCTCTTTTTTTTTTTTACTGTCACGTTGTTCCCCTGCGTCACAATTATAAACACGCTCCCTGAAACTCGCAACTTCCGCGACAGTAATTCCTCAAACCGCACCGTGAAACTCAACAGGCGACCACAATGATTGTGGCTTCGTAACCACGTGTTATCAAGTATATATAGGTCTGTTCAGCTCAAGCGTACCAGTTAATGTTGACAGCTGCACATCGGCAGTTGACACAAGTATAAAGTAACTATAAGTTTTATCGGTAAAAAAACAAACAAAAGAAATTGGTACAATTTTAGCAGCGTTACAGACGTCAAATAATACCAAATCAATAATCTAACGAGAGCTGTCAAGTCTGATGCATTTGACCTGAATGGCCTTGTATACCGATATAACTCATTAACGCGCGACTAATTAAATATCATCATTAAGAATCAGCCGGTTGAATTAATTGTATAATACCATAAAGCGAACGGTATTCAAAGCATAATAATCCACAAGGTGCGTAATAAATATTCAGTAGTAAAATAAAAATTCGTCCAATCGCTACTACTCGGTTCACGCACGTATAAGCCACTCGGCCGTATTAAACGAATGAAACGTGGAGCTAGGAGCTGACAAAAAAAAAGAGGTTCTTTCATTCTGACGCGATCGCCCGAAATGGAATTAAATGATAATTCATCGTAAATATTTCCTCTCGTGTCTCTGCTCGTGACGCTGCATTCGAAAAAGTCGCCTATTCGTATTCGCACTGGCAGGATAAACCAGAAATTGGACTCTCCGCGTATACCACAATCACCGGCTTCCCCAATATATTATGAACGCGGCATAAAGATAGTCCTCAAATTTTGCCAATATATTGTGTACGCGGCATGAAGATAGTCCTCGAATCTTTTCAAAGAATTACGCACGGCAATTTACAACGGTTTGTTTTATATATATATATTTTTCTCTTTTGAATTTTATACCGACGCTCTGTATACAGGAGAGCTTTATTGTTCACCGTAAGGATCGCGTATACACGAGTACAAGGCATTATCCGTGCACGAGTGATTCTTTCCATGGTCATTTACACTATACCGACGATAACGTAAGGACGCTTTCTCCACGCGTTTATAAGTAACGAGCGACCACGCTAGTCAGCAAAGCGTAACCCGTCGTCATTGATCTTTTTTTCTTTTATGATTTAGAAATTCACCCTATCCTTCGGTACGAGCCTTATGGTAATTTTTTCATGGTTATACTTTTCCCGCTCGGTAATGCAGATCCCTGACGTATCGCTCGAGACCGAGAAATTCACTTCGTTCTACCGCGACAGGTGATTGGACGATTTATTTTTTTTTTTTTTTTTTTTTTTTTTTTTTTTTTTTTTTTTTTTTTTTTTCAGTCTTAGGTTATGTAAGTTTTATATTTTAGTTGGAGCCCCGGGATCGACTAAGAGCGACGTAGCTCGAAATCCCTGCGAAACAGCCTGAAAATTCTCGAATGTCGTACCAATCCCTGTAGGCTTCCACGACCGAATTAGCGCGCGTTTACCGGATATTTTTATATTTTATTTTCGTGAGCCACCTATGTCTCTCTCTCTCGCTCTCTCTCACTGGTTACCAAATTGCGCGTTCTTTTATTTCTTTTTTTTTTTTTTTTCGTCTTCCTCCAAAAACACTCGTGTAACAGTAAGACGAACCAAGGCTCACCAACCGCGCTTACTCACCTCCCTCCAGTAGACAGCTCGCTCCGTCCGTTCCGCTTGCCGACTCACCGTCACAACAAAACCCGATCCTTATCTCTGGCTCGGTGCTAAAGAATATTTGGATCTTGTTTCGTCTTCGTTCGGGAACGCCCGCCAATAGCTTTTCTATCGTCTTACGTGTTCTCAAGGTCCCAGCTATTTCCCTGACAAAGCTCACCCGTTATTTCAACGACTTGGCGCTACTTTGTAAAATGCTCGTTGTCCCGCGTCACGTTTGAACCGCAAGAGACACACTAAAATCCTTATCAGTCCTTATCATCGATCCTCCATAAAGCTCGTACCCGTCTTACCGTACGGTATCGGAATTCTCAAATTTACGCTTTTACGTTCGCGCTGTTCATACACCGGCAAACTTCACGATCCTCTGTGGTCGCTGATAACTCTTATCAGTCAATCTCGATAGCTCTAGCTTGAACCGAGGCGACCTCGGAATCACAGATTCAAGATACCCAATGACTCGTTACATGCCTTCTGACCTATTATACAATTCTGCAAGCTTTACGATCGTACGAAATCATAGTAACAGATACGACGCACTTGACAAATTTTTTTTTTTCGAAAATTAAAAAAAAATTTTTCTAAAAAAACGGGAGGTTCACATGTAACCGCATGGGTAATGAAAACTACATCATTTCGCTTTTTTGTCCTTTTGACTTATTCACAAGATTTGACGTTTCCCACATACAAGGCTTAGATTGGGATAATAATAATAATTATCGTCGTTGGGGAAAAAAAAAACGTCAAGTCACTAACGACTAATGCGATTCACGTCGAGCGAGAGGAAGGAAGAAAAAAAAGCTCGTCCGTCCGATTCATTGGCTCGCGAGCTTGCGGTTGTTCTTATTAATAGACGTCAATGGCGACGGGACTTGCTTCGACTTCTCTGTGCTTCGCTCTCCGTTCGGCATGATTGACGTATGTATATTTGCTTTATGCTTTCTATTACGCCGCCCGTTTATAACCCGTTTATACGTACGGGGTATCCGAACCCACGTGGACCGCGCGAAGACCCCGATAGTCGTGACACTTGAGTCGCCGATGAGCTTTTTTTTTTAACCCGTCAACGACTGCTATTAAAACCTCTTTAACCCGAATCCTTATCGTCCTTAGATTAACGACTTGACCATCATCGATATGTCAATCGACTCACGTTCCATCGACTTCCGGTTTACCTCGCGTCCTTCGAGCTTGGAATCGCGCTTGCGGCTCCTTTTAAGTTTCATGGGCTATTTTATTGGCTGTTAAATCTAACGTCGTTCGTACGGATTCGGATGACTCCGATCAAGCGTTCCTTCTTTTTTTTTTCTTTCTCTTCATTGGCCATCCTAACCATTATTCGGGGATTTTTATACACATACCCATCGACTCGCAGAAATCGTTTCTTCACTTTGACCACGTGGCTTCGGGTTTCTGTCCTGGGACGACGATCGGACTCAAACGAAATTCTGTCGCGGTCTACTAACGTAAGCTTGCGGACAGATTAAACTTTGTCCACGGGTTATTCTAGCGCGTTTGGTCCGTCTCGGCTCTGACTCGGCGAACCTCACGCGTGTACCCGGAAATACTGTAGGACCATTGTATCTCTTATCTGCTTTTTTTTTTTTAATTTGCAACGAATCATTTTTTTTTTATCAACGTCATTCCTCGCTCTGTGACGTATCTGTCTGCTTTTTTTTTTAATATAAATAATTTCGTCACTTCTCAAATTACCTCTTCCGCTGTTCGCGTTTCTTCATTCGACGCGCTTATTAGATACTCGCGCTTGTTTCGTATTACGTATATATATATATATATATACACACACGTATGCTTAGAATTAACCTATACGATATACCAGCCGCATACAGATTCTTGCTTAATTACTTGAGTGAATAATTAATCGTCTTATCGGACGCATCCTGACGTAGAGAATTCTCCTTGAACGCTATTGCATCTCTGGTAATCCCTTTCAACCCCCCCCTACCCCTCTTCCCAGCATCCCTCAGACGTCTATTTTTTTTTCAATATAATCTTTATCGTACGCCTCTCTTCCGTCCTCGCTATTTTTCGCCGTCCGTAAATCGGAGTTGACTTTTGAAAAGCACAATGAGTTTTTTACATACTGGTATTATCCTTGCGAAAGCTCGGAAGTAATTAACGTGTTACGATTTTTTTCTTTTGGATCGCGTGACTTTTTTTTATCTCGTAACTTTACTTTTTTTGGGGAAAAAAATCAAACTCGTAATGTAAGTTAGGTTTGGTTTGAAGTTTTTTTTTTTTCGGTTTTATCACTTTTTGAAAATATGGACTTCGATGAGAGCTTTACGACGATCCGGTTATTCGAGTTTTGGGCTTAAATTTATGACGAATCACTGACTTCCTCAATCTAAATCCAGTGCGGATTCGTTACTCTTTTAATCTGACGTTACGTTTGTAGCTGTGGTGCAATTCGTGCGTTGAAAATTTGCCTGAAATCTGGCACGATCTTTATCGCGGCTTAGGCGAGCGACAACAGTGCCTAATATGTTGCCTATCTGATCCGAGTAGTCGAGAGTAATTTTCGATGCCACTTTACCTCCGAATTATCATTATTGTGTATATGTATATAAGGCATAGGCTTTCAAGTGCTTGTCGGGTTGTCTCAGGTGGAACAACTGACAGACCCACCTGTCGATAAGCGATGGCCTCGTCGCCAGGCAAACCTTAAGCGACGTTTGCGCGTATCGATTCGCTTGATCGCGACGAAAAGAAATGGGTAAACTCGAGAGTGGATCGGACGATTGCGCAACTCGATCCTCAGGATCTATCGTTAAGCGTTTAAGCGTTATCTTCAAATTCATACTGCTTGCGACGGATGAGGCTGTTGAACGGATGACGTCAGTTCGCCGTGCGTCAGTCATTCGTCGTGTAATGTTTCTTTGCAAGGCACCGAACGTCGGTAAAGAAGTCCCGAGGCTCTACCGACGTTGACCTGGGTCAGGGACGTGACGCGCGAGGATCTTCAAAAATTCTCCTATCGCTTTTTCTCATTATATATATATATATATATATATATATATATATATATACTTTTTTTTCCAATTTCTATCTCTCTCCCTCGAACTTCATTCTTCGCAATTTTTGTCATTTTTTTTCGGCGTTACGCGAAACCCTCGTCTGTCAATTATCAACGAAAAAGACTTGTTCTTCGCGGCTCGTGCGGCCATTTCAGCGAAACGCAGGAGGGGAGAGGTCTTCCCGAGTGTCCTTGTCGTAAAAATTCATTTTGATTTCATGGGAGAAGCTGGGAAAAAATTAATTGGCAGAGTGGGGAGGGATGGGTAGGGGGGTTGGGGGGAGGCTAGAAAAAATTGGACAATTTTTTTTTAGGCCAACATTGTCTACATATATTCAGAGTCACTTGTCCTTACAGACTTCTCGAGGAATATTGGTACAGCGTTCGTACGACTTCCGGTCTGATCGTTTTTTTCTGGCTTTTCAATGTAAATTTTTTTTTTTAAATTCTGTTCCACTTTTTTTCTTTAACCTAATCTCTGTATTCTCTTGTGATTTTTCTCGTAACTTGCCCGCCTTGGAAACTCTCGGTTTGAATCTCTCTTGAAATTTTGTATCGGCCTGTTTACTTTTTTTTTTTTTTTCCCGTATTACTCGATCGTCAAGGACTATCGGATATATCGTCATAAGGTAGTACGCTTCTGTTCCTCTCTCTCTATTCTGTATCGTATATATATATATATATATACACGTACATATGTACCATCCACTGTTAGTACCTGCATCCTTCCTCGTGTCTACTTGCGTATGAACACATAGCCTCTGTACATAGCATCTAAGTAGGTACATAACACGGGAACCGCGTATCTACCACGTTACCTTAGCCGTACCGTAAATACGAAGGCTACTTTTCCGCGCTAACTCGATTCTAGGATCGATGCTGGCGCCCGAGACTTAAGTCGCTTGTAACCGGGACTCACCAGAGTACTATAATATTTAATGGCAAAATAGATTATTTTACGTTAGCACGGGTGACGTGAGACATGAATTAGGAAATTCCATCGATCGGAAAAAAACAGAAGAGGGAAACCCACGTCACACACAGTCATACCGGTCTTGGTGTACAGTTGTGCAATGATTACCAGCGAGAGGTCCTTAGTGTGCCGTAGTCGAGAAATGATTTAGGTCGGTTGAAAATTTTTAGGTAATTTTTTTTTTAGAAGCGTCACATATTTTTTTTCATTACTCCCGCCAAGTCTTATCGACCAGACGGAGCGACTAAATGTTTAAATGTTTGCCATAGCGATTGACGCTGTTCGCGCGGGTTAAGTCGGAGCCCGTTTATCCCGGGTTGGTACGATTCGAGCGAGTCGCCTCTTGCCGAGTGGGAGTAAAACGCGCCTATTAACTTGGGCCATTTTACTTGCGCTTAAACGTCGTATCGTTCGGGCGAGAGAACGCGTCATCGTAGTTTTCACGTGGCACGTTTGGAAATCTTATAGGAGGTTATGTAAACGTCATTTGCGGTCCATGTGGCCGTGATCGCGTGGGAAGTCTCTAAATCAAGCAAGGATACGGCCGATCAAATATTTACCCTTCGCTTGTGAAATTCGTGCGAACTTTGTTGACGCGATAAAGGGGTAATACCGGGGGTACCCTAATTTTGTATTGTGCCCGTAGCGCGGAGGGAGGCTTGTCGAGGGGACTGTCGGGCCTTCCGCTTCCGGTCGCCGAACGACGCAACACGGTTCGATCGTTTCTCGAATTTTGTCAAAGGAAATTTTGGATTTACTTTTTTGTCAACTCTTTTTATTTATCAGTCAAAGGAACCCTAGTAACTTTTCGTGAGTAGGTTTCTCTTCTTTCGATTGTCATTTCCGATCGAGTTTGCGGGTTGAGAAAAAAAAATTTTTTTTGAAAATTTTTTACCATGTCAAAATTTTTCTATGTCTTCAATGACTCTGGGCTTATTTTTTTTTTTTACCTAAATTTTTTATCGATTAGCGTAAACTTGAGGGATATTCACTGCTGATAGCACCATACACTCCAATTGACTGATAACGTCAACGTGTTAATTACTTCGGGGTGACGTAGTGACTAGAGTGATTGCGCGGAATTGACACGATCGCGAATTTTACTTTGGGAATAAATTTTCTTTTCTGTGTGTAATCGACTGTAAGAAAAAAGCAAATTATAGTAAAGTTGATTAAATGCCAGTTGAAGTAATTCAGGCGCGTAACGCGAGCAGATTCGTGATCGGTCGTTAATGAGATTAATCGCTCGTTCCGCCTCCTTTTCCCTCTGTCTCTGTGTACATTCGACACCCGCAAGTCTCTCGCAGCGATTTATCGATCGATCAGAATCGAATCAGATAATCTCGATCGGACAGACTTGGGCACCTCGTATATTTCTTATTGTCCGGATTCCCCTGCGTCATCGTCGTCGGGCCAGAGTACGTTGGCTCTCGCGCGAAGAAGCCGCCTAAGCGCTATTTCGAGAAACGGTAAAAAAAAAAAAAATGTTCACCTCGTAACGCTTACACGTTCGTTTACGTCGACAATGGCGGCACTCATCGACGTTACTACCGACAATAGAGGTACAGTGTCGTTAACCCGCGCTCACAAAAGACGTAATTCAGACACTTGTGGATGCCGCTTTAACAGCTTGACATAATAATATCGAGATACGTACGTCATATACATATACAGACAAATAGTACCGTTACTTCGTTGGAAGTACGAAAAAAAAAAAAAGAAAATTCGTCCAGCTCTCCGTGTGAACGAACCTTTAAAACGAATATCGTTAAATAATCGTAACCGCCGTGGTCGCCGTTGGCTTTCGTTTTTCCCCATATAAGGTTTGTTTATGGTTATCGGCTTTGTCGTCGGCCTTGCATCGGGCTCGGCGTTGCGTGATAAATATCCTCGGTCGCCGCCACCCCCCGCCCTGTCGCACAGTGAAAACTCTCCGCTCCTTTGTCGCCCGCTGGACACACTTACGACTTTTCTCCTCCGGCCGCCGGAGCCTCGACGCTTCTCCTCTCGCGCCCCCCTTTGCCACCTATGTCGCAGACCGATGCGCTTACCTCCTCGTGGTGGATGCGTCCGCCTATGCGGATGCACCACGATGCACATAAGAATTTACTCGCGGGATGCAAACATGGCGGCGGCTTCTTCCCGTACGCCTTCGCAGCCGACTCTGGCTCGCCGTTCGTTAAGTATGGGGGAAAAAGAAAATATAAACATGATTTTCCACTCGTATGCTTCATACGTGTTTCCAGGCATACGTGCGTATATGCTGATCATGCTTTTATATGCTGGTTAACATTTCCATGACCGATGCCCGCTGACGACTTTATCGATCGATTCTTGTCGTGACCAATGAGGGACTGTCGCCTCTTGTTCACATATGTATATACGATGTGTGGACGAGAAACCCGATGACGTTTGTATATGGGATTATCCGGAGTCTAACAAGAATTTTCTACTTTGTAGCGGTTAAACGAATTTACGAATCTGTGCGATCGGGGGATGAGACCTTTTTTTTTTTTGGGAAATTTTTTTTTTTTACGTTTTATGGAATTTTGTAATTTTGCCGGGGACGCTTTTTTTTTAGAGATTGCGCGGCCGGTGGCTTCTGGGAAATCTTTGTTCTTTTGCTCGGATTATCCGTACTGTTTTTATCTACGGTGCTGTTGGAGCGGAGATTATACGGGATGGAAATCTTGGCGTTACCTCGGGCAGTTTCAACTGGGACAGTTTAAAGGGGATGACGTCGGGTCGGGTTGTGGGAATAATTTAGTTTTGAAATTCCCGCGCGAACCAACGCCACGATGACTATTTCTATGTTGAGCTTAAGAAGTGAAAATTTTTCTTATTTGTCAATTATTATTATTTTTTTTTGCTAATTGAGTTTTTTTCTCTGTTACAGAATTGCCGGCTGAGGAGGGTAAGTTTCCGGTGCTATACGTCATTTCCGGTACATGTCTATGAGCTAAGATCGGATTCTGTGAAATTGGAGGACGCGCGTGCTTATTCTGAGACGTCGCCGGTTCGACGGAGACGAGATTTCGTAGTTTGCAAGAACTTTGGAATATATCAATACCGGCGTGGCTCCGACCGTCGCAGTCGGCTCGGATCCTGCAGTCATAGGTTTTCCGAGAGGTTTTAGACTTCGTAAAATCGTGGCTTCCCACGGCAATGTGATTATATACGTAAATGGCGAGCATTTCGTTACGTGTTATATGATTTATGCGAAATTAGCCTTCTGAGTGAACTTTTTCCCTTCTTTCATCGTTCGACTGTCATTTGGCTTTGTTGCTGCTTCGCGAAACTAAGCGAACGATTTGCAAGCCGCTTTCTTCCCGCGTGACGTCATCTCGGTAATTCGCATTTATTCGAATTCTCTGAATGAAGCTTGAACGTCTGTCATTACACACTCGTATCTAAGTAGGCCGACGTGCAGCAGGAGCTGACGTCTGGTGCAAGCTTAGAGTATAATGCATACGTTGGATATATCTGCACGGAGCAGCCGTCTGTTTCATTGGCAAGTAAATTGCATCGGGAACTGCATACGGCAAGGATGAATGCACCCCGATGCATTTGGCATGACTGAAATTCGGTTTGAAAATTTTTTTTTTCTATTTTCATTTTGACACAGGACCTCCGCGAAGGCTTTTTCTTGATCCGTAGACTTTATTTTTGGTGGATAAAATTATAAAAATTTTTACTGCTTAAAAATTTTTTTTTAGAGGTCATCCTAGTGGGTCACTGACAGCCCAGCTCTGCACTTCCGTATCAATTGTAATGGCAAGTCCGGTATTTTCACTTGGCGCGCGCTCGCGCGTTCCCCGTCGAGAATTACGATTAATGAAATCAGCGAACGTTCGCGCCACGGACACCGCGACGTGACGTCAATTGCATGTGCTGGCAAAAGGCAGTTCCCATCAAGGACGTCAGGCCTCCCTGGATCTGCTGGCGTCTGTTCCGCCAGTTTTCTGACGCCAGCGTTCTGTCGTTACGCGCCTTTACGTGGCGTCATACATTCCACGCGTTCGTTCCTCACAATTATAACAATGTAAACGCGCTCTGCGCAGACAACTATTGTTGCTATGTCGTTAGCGAGTGAAATTGTAAAAATAATTATTGTCATTATTAGCGCGTTAATTTTTAATTTTTAAAAATACTGCTCAGCGCTATTACTATTATTTATAATTTTGACTGTTTCACTTATGTACTTCTCTACTTTGAGCCACATATATGCACGGCGCTGACAATATTTCGAGTCGCGGTTAATATTTGAAAGATTGCGGTTATTTCGAAAGCTTCGGCGTTAATAAAGTACCTTGAGAAATGGCCATCTAATCAAAAGGCCAGTCGGAAACGTAAGTTCCTTCGGTACAGAAACACATGGCTGACCACTCGAGCTGTAGCGGGTGATAGGTCGATTATCTGGAATTCTACGTGGAGGAAGGCATAAACGATTTCTAACTTTCATTACGTAGACGAATCTGGGCACGAAAATAAGCGCGGCTATTAAGAATTTTTTTTTAAGTCATTTCACCAGGACGTCAGCGATAGCGGGTGTATCTTAGCTCAAAGACTCGCATCGATTTTCTTGGGACGTGAAATGCTTGTTTGAAAGGAAAAATGGTAATGGAAGTAAATATTACGATTTACAGGAAAATCCATTTGGCAACTCGTCCTAGAACAGTTCGACGACCTTCTAGTTAAGATCCTTCTATTAGCTGCTATTATTTCTTTCGTAAGTATTCTTCGCTGATAGTACGCGCGAGTTACGTTTACTGTTATTGCATCATTTAACGTGATATTATTCTCTTTGTTCCACCAGGTATTAGCTTTATTTGAAGAGCACGACGATGCCTTCACTGCCTTCGTCGAACCCTTCGTCATTCTGCTCATCCTTATTGCCAATGCCGTGGTCGGCGTGTGGCAAGAACGTAACGCCGAGTCCGCGATTGAAGCTCTGAAGGAATATGAGCCCGAGATGGGAAAGGTAGTCAGAGGCGACAAGTCCGGCGTCCAGAGGATCCGCGCCAAGGAGATCGTACCCGGCGACATCGTTGAGGTGTCCGTCGGCGACAAGATCCCTGCTGACATTCGTCTTACCAAGATCTACTCTACCACTCTCAGGATCGATCAGTCCATCTTGACTGGTGAATCTGTATCCGTTATCAAGCACACCGACCCCGTACCCGATCCTCGTGCTGTGAACCAGGTAAATATTTTCTGAGATCGATGAGTATACTTATCTGGATTGTTCGTTGTACTCAGAAATAAGAATTACAATTTTATTCGTTCGTTCCATCAGGACAAGAAGAACATTCTCTTCTCCGGTACCAATGTTGCTGCTGGTAAGGCTCGTGGTGTCGTAATTGGAACTGGTCTTAACACTGCCATCGGTAAGATCCGTACCGAGATGTCCGAGACCGAGGAGATCAAGACGCCCCTGCAACAGAAATTGGATGAGTTCGGTGAACAACTGTCCAAAGTCATTTCCGTAATTTGCGTCGCTGTCTGGGCTATTAATATTGGACACTTCAACGATCCCGCTCACGGTGGTTCCTGGATCAAGGGTGCCATCTATTACTTCAAGATTGCCGTAGCTCTGGCCGTCGCTGCTATTCCTGAAGGTCTGCCCGCTGTCATCACCACTTGCTTGGCTCTTGGTACTCGTCGTATGGCCAAGAAGAACGCCATTGTCAGATCCCTGCCTTCCGTTGAGACCCTTGGTTGCACGTCTGTTATCTGCTCTGATAAGACTGGAACTTTGACCACCAATCAGATGTCCGTCAGCCGGTATGTATTATGGAGAGACGAGGAGCTGATCTGTTTTTTGTTGAAGCGTTATTATATTTAACATTGATTGTTTTCAGTATGTTTACCTTCGAAAAAATCGAGGGTAACGACAGCAGCTTCCACGAATTCGAAATTACTGGCTCCACCTATGAACCCATCGGTGAGATATTCCTCAAGGGACAGAAGGTTAAGGGATCCGACTTTGAGACTCTTCATGAAATCAGCACCATCTGCATCATGTGCAACGACTCCGCTATTGACTTCAATGAGTTCAAACAGGCTTTTGAGAAGGTCGGCGAGGCTACCGAGACCGCACTCATTGTCTTGGCTGAGAAGATCAATCCCTTCGCTGTCCCCAAGTCCGGACTGGACCGTCGTAACGCCGCCATTGCCGTCAGACAGGACATCGAGACCAAGTGGAAGAAGGAGTTCACCCTGGAGTTCTCTCGCGATCGTAAATCCATGTCCTCCTACTGCGTTCCTCTCAAGCCCAGCAAACTTGGAACCGGACCCAAGCTCTTCGTCAAGGGTGCTCCCGAAGGTGTCCTGGACAGATGCACGCACGCTCGTGTCGGTACTCAGAAGTTCCCTCTGACCTCTTCTCTGAAGAACCGCATCCTGGAACTCACTCGTCAATACGGTACTGGGCGCGATACTCTGCGTTGTTTGGCTCTCGCTGCTGCTGATCACCCAATGAAGCCTGACGAAATGGACTTGGGTGACTCCACCAAGTTCTACACCTACGAGAAGGACCTCACCTTCGTCGGTGTCGTTGGTATGCTTGATCCTCCCCGCAAGGAGGTCTTCGACTCCATTGTCAGGTGCCGTGCTGCTGGTATCCGTGTCATTGTCATCACTGGTGATAACAAGGCCACTGCTGAAGCTATCTGCCGTCGTATTGGTGTCTTCGGCGAGGACGAGGATACTACTGGCAAGTCTTACTCTGGACGTGAATTCGATGATCTTCCTATTGCCGAACAAAAGGCCGCCTGCGCTAGGGCTCGTCTCTTCTCCCGTGTGGAGCCCGCTCACAAATCCAAGATCGTTGAGTACCTGCAGAGCATGAATGAAATCTCTGCTATGGTAAGTCATCGTGGATTCTTTGAATACATTTTAGCTACTTAGTTCAATAATTTATGAATGATAACTTATCGTGCACAGACTGGTGATGGTGTCAATGACGCCCCTGCCCTGAAGAAGGCTGAGATTGGTATTGCTATGGGATCTGGTACAGCCGTAGCTAAGTCGGCTTCCGAGATGGTGTTGGCTGACGATAACTTCTCATCCATTGTCGCTGCCGTTGAGGAAGGTCGTGCCATCTACAACAACATGAAACAATTTATCCGTTATCTTATCTCTTCCAATATTGGCGAAGTCGTCAGGTATTATTATCCGAGTAATCTGAGACACGCGTTCTTGCTGTTTTGAATATTATTTAATTTCTTTGAACTCGTCTTTTTTCAGTATTTTCTTGACTGCTGCTCTTGGTCTTCCCGAAGCACTCATCCCCGTACAGCTCCTCTGGGTCAATCTGGTCACTGATGGTCTTCCTGCTACTGCTCTTGGTTTCAATCCACCCGATCTTGACATCATGGACAAGGTATGAAATAACAAAACCACATATATTTAAACAATTTTCAACGTTTACACTCTTATATTTCTATACTTCGTTTACCTTCCTCAGCCTCCCCGTAAAGCCGACGAATCTCTCATCTCCGGCTGGTTGTTCTTCCGTTACTTGGCCATTGGTGGATACGTGGGTGCTGCAACCGTTGGATCCGCCGCCTGGTGGTTCCTGTACAGCCCGCACGGACCTCAGATGAATTATTACCAACTGGTAAAAATAAACAAATGACATATCGCATAAAGTCCAATTCTATCGTGGCACTTCTTCATTAATCAATACTTCCGTTCTAGACCCACCACTTGGCCTGCATTGGCGGAGGTGAGGAGTTCAAGGGTCTTGACTGCAAGGTCTTCTCCGACCCGCATCCCATGACTATGGCTCTTTCCGTACTTGTCACCATTGAAATGTTGAACGCCATGAACAGGTAAAACTCGTTAATCCAGAATTTCAAATTTTATAATTTTACTTGACACACACGAACGATGCTCTTGCTTACAGTTTATCTGAGAACCAGTCTCTGATCAGCATGCCCCCATGGTCCAACATGTGGCTCATCGCTTCTATGGCCCTTTCCTTCACACTCCACTTCGTCATCCTCTACGTCGACGTTCTTTCGGTAAGTGCCGAACCAGCCATTAACCTCGGCAAGAATAAATTAAAGTACTAGACTTTTCAAATTAAATCTCTGTTACAGTCTGTGTTCCAAGTCACCCCACTGACTGTCGAAGAATGGGTTACCGTTATGAAGTTCTCCATTCCAGTGGTACTTCTCGACGAAACCCTGAAGTTCGTTGCCAGAAAGATCACAGACGGTGAGAACCCAATTTACACCGTGCATTGGATCGTTTTAATGTGGGCCGTGTTCTTTGGACTTTTATACGTTTTCCCCATATAGAAAGTGAGAGTATGCGCGTGCGAAAGAGTATGAAAGCAAGCGGAGAGATTGCGTGTGAGAAAGTGTGAGCAATCACTGAGAGAACGAGACATAGAAAGAGAGAGAGAGAGATTGAGAGCAAAAGTAAAGAGAGAAAGGTGGAGAGTGAGAGTGAAAAGTTAGTTCAAAGAAAAGTAAAAAAAAAAAAAAAGAAAATACTGAGAAACGACGACCTCGTCCTCCTCCGTAAGAGTGACACTACGGACGGAGCCATCGTCGTCTAACCGAAGCTCCTGGGACTTGCAGTTTGCATTTAGCTTAAACTTCCCCGTGGCACGGGAAGGTTTTCATAAGGATCGATTTAACGAAGTGTGTTTAAGTGAGATTTTTTAACCAGTTTAACTGTTGCGCATGGTGTATTAGTCAGTGCAACCAGATGAGATACATATAATATCTCAACTACTTCCTCTATGCGGACCTCGAAAGGCTGACCATGCTCGCCAACCACCAACACCGTGTAAACAACCCCGACGTCGCCCTAACGGTCGTACCAACCTCCAGTGGCATCCAGAAAGCGTATAGAAATACCTATCCCTACGTTATCGTGCATTAGTTCTGTCTATAATTTTTTGTTTAATCTTTATCACCTCGGTTCTGCTCGTTTCGCCAAATGAATTTCTTAAATTCTTTTCTTTTTGTACGAGTGCCTTCTAATCGTGTAAAACTCCGAAACCTTTCTTCACTGATGTCATCTTACTGTTATCGTTACACGTGCTCGTGCGAATTGATTGTAATCGGATATCGTGTTGTGTCCTATCCCTTATCACTCCCGATTCTACGTATTTGCACGTGTGTATTATTTAATTAACCATTGGTGTAGGTCAGTGTAGTCTCATTTGTATTCATCCTGATGCACATCTTGTATACGTTTGTTCATATACGTGTTATAGCATGTAATTTCTTGTTTGCATTCTGGAATTGCTTATCGTTGCATTATCACCGATTACGTCTAAAGAGACGAAAAATCGCGAGCACGGGCGCCATATGAAAACGCGAACACCACCGTGGTGAATTTTCTCGATCTGTAACTATTTTCGATTACCGATACGGTGGTTCACTTCCTTATAAGACGTCGACGTCAAGTCGAACGTTAACCCTTAGCGTTAATATTTTATTAGAGATTCGCGAAGGCCGATCGCGCGATTGCATAATAGATCGACCTTCGGACGAGCCCGTAGAACCTTTCGTTTCTCCTAAGTAGCATTTCGATTGTACATAAGGTAGTAGATAGAAGTCTGTACATTATTAGCTACAAATTGTATTCACGGATTATTCGAATTCAATTATTTCCTTTCGATTAGATAGAGAAAGTACCGGGATTGCTTCCGACTTTATCGATAGAAAATTTCCTCTTTTCCTATGGTACTTTTTTTTTTGTTCTTACGATTAATTCCTTTTTTTTTTCTCTCTTGGTACCCCTCATCAGTCTATTCGTTTGACGCACGACTATACACCCTTAACATCCCTGTATGACAATTGTGCAAAGTCGATGAGCGCCTGGGACTGTCTTGATCAAGCAATTGCTTCTCCTAACGATAACGCTAATTTATAACCTGGCTCTTTGTCGGTGCGTGTTACGTGTTTTGTGGTTTTTTCTTTTCTTTTTCCTCCTTCACCAGTAACAAGCTTGCTGCCGCCGAGGAAGAAGTGCGATCCGTGACTGCGGGAAGAGCCGTGCTGCTGACCTCTTCGAGAGCCGATTGCGCATGGACACTGGGATCGTGGAGAAGATCGTCTGGGATAAAAATAACAAAAAAAAAACCGCTTCTAACACGTGTGTCTTCCTGGGTGTAAACGGGCTTTTACGCATGCGTAGACGTAAGGAAACTCGGGCGATGTTCTGCGTCATGTTCATCATCGTCATCATCATCTAAAACCTTGACAAGCCACATGTCATTCATTCCCTTTGTCTAGTTATCCTATTTAATTTCATACGGCTAGTGACGTACGTACTATGTTATTCATAGGGAGGATAATTATAAAATTTATTAAAATTTTCATCACGGTCTCGCTCCCGATCAATGATTCACGATCGACAATAAAATTGTTCCTCGTGTCAATAGACAATTTCGTCGTTAGCAGCGCTCGACCGGCAGTATACGTCTAGAAGTCATTTTTCATCGTTCAACGTTTCGGATTAGGGTGAATTTTTGTACTTGGCTAATTAACGGTCGTCGATCGTGGACAGTGTGATAAAGCGCACCGTGCGAATTATGTATATTTATATCTTGGCTTCCTGATCGTTATTGATTCTTATTGATAAATTTTATCCCGAATTATTTCGAGATTACGTGTTACGGCGTTTAGGTGTAAAACGTGAAAAAAATTAATCCGAATCGTACGAATACGTCATTGCTTAGGGATTACCGATCGGGAGGAACACTGTGAGACAGAGTCATCGTCATCGCGTATTTTATATAATTTTTTTAATGTCAGAATCGTCATCGTATCCTCGAAAACAAAAAAAATTATCGATCCTTTACATTCGAATATCTACAAATTTCAAATCTCCGATTTTCGATATCGACGCGCGCAATTTGCCGTACTTGTTCAAATTTATCGATACTCGTAACGGAGTACTGTCAGATTTTCATTAACATACTATACACCTTCAATGGCTGTACAATATCGTACGCGTTTAGGTACCGTCAGTGCGCAGAGTCTATTAACGTCACGCCATAACCAAAAAGAAGTAAAAAAAAATTTTTGTTCACGTCGCTTATCCCACGGTGATTGACACCGAAATTCGAGGTGTATCGATAAAAGAAAAAGTAATGAAAAAAAAAAAAATTGATTGCCCACTTTCACAAGTAATATAAATAACGTTCAGAAATATTTTGTAAATTCGTGGAAAAAAGTTTTTTTTTTTTTTTTTTTTTAAAGTTTT